TAGACCAGATCCAGAAGTTGTTGCCATGCTTACTTCGGGACTAACTGCTTCAATTGCTCTTGAAAAGGTTTACTGACATGAGCTCATCTTCGTGATTCTAAGATGTTACGTGATGCACATTAATTAGTTTAGTACCTGATATGTTACACGATGTACATTCAAGAACTGTTATGATATACTACCTTTTGTGCAGCTCATGATTAGTTTAATGCCTTTAGTTTTTCTGCCACTGAATTGGCTTGACCTAATAAAGATCTCCTCTGGTGCATTGAATAGGCAGGGCATATGGATTCTGGAAAGGTAGTTCTTGTTACTGCTGCAGCTGGAGGAACCGGACAATTTGCAGTTCAGGTGCACATAAATTTGTTTCCATTTGCTTCTTTCAAATGTGTTCGCATGCATTTATATTATGCTGTAGACGGCAGAACCTGGGTTTTTATCTTTTGCACAAAACTCAGCCGACAGCCAGTCACATCATGTTTCTTCCCATCCTACACATGACAGTAATATATTTCATGTTTCTGGTCAAGAAATATTTGTTCTCTTTAGTGTATAGACGAGATATTTATTGCTTTGAGTTTTGTGCTTTTTCTTCTTTTCATGCACTACCTATTCTTCAGACTATTTTTTCAACCCTTAACATTGTTTTCCTAATTTCATTGAATCTAAAGATGTCTGACCAGTAGTTTAAGAAAATTCTGGTTGTTTTTTGTAATTATTACATGAATCGTGGTTCGTATTAAGTTGAACTAAATATGGAATCCTTTCCGTGTCTGAGAAATAGAGAAGATGCGACACAAAGTAGCTAAACTGAGAGGGTGGATCTCTTTTAAATAATTCATTAGTTCAATGCTTCATAGCTATGAAACATGTACAAAAATTCAATGGGTATCTGTCATATATTCTTACATTATTTTTCCCCAAAAAAGAATATAGAACTTGTATTATATCATGAAGATGGAGTTTCTAGTGTCCCTTTTTCGGTTGATTTCTTCAAGCGATGTTTAGTGTATTTCTTAACTTTTTTTTTTTTAATTATTATTCTCTTATATGGACTCATGTAATTGGTGATTTGATGTGTCATGGCAGTGTTCGCGGTCAACACGCCTTAAGGATAAGATTTTATGTGTTTCATACCTTAATAGATAAATGGAGATGAAGATACTGTTTTGTATAATAGAAACACTAAAGATAGAAGAAATAGTAAATTTGTTCAGATCAATTTATGTCCATAACTAAGGCAGTGGGAGACTTTTCTATTGCAACGTTGCAGGCTAAAATTTCTACTTGATTTTTCTGTACACAATGTCTTCTCAATAATTTGGATTCTATGCAGCTTGCAAAATTAGGAGGAAATAAAGTGGTTGCAACTTGTGGAGGAGGGGCGAAAGCCAAGCTTCTAAAAGGATTGGGAGTTGACAGGGTCATAGACTATAAAAGTGAAGATATTAAAACCGTATACCTCAAGTCCTCTGGTTTTCTTCCCTTTATATTTTATTTCTTTTAACATTATTTTGCTTTTATGGTTTGCTTGATGATTTAATGACATTTTTGAAATTTGAAAAATTAATCTATTTGTGAGATGATATTGCTAGCATTGAAATAATGTTTTTCACACCTCATCGAAGATATGTGTGTTTTAACCCCACAAAAAATTATGCAAAATACCTTGACTTCCCCAAGGCTCTAGCTGATTGAATATTTGTGGCTTTATTTTTTCAGGTTCTGACTAAGGAGTTCCCACAAGGCATTGACATCATCTATGAGTCTGTTGGTGGTGCCATGTTCAACTTGTGCTTGAATGCTTTAGCAGTCTATGGGCGACTCATTGTGATTGGAATGATTTCTCAGGTTCTCTGATATTCTCTCCTTCCCCCATCCTTGCATGTTCTCGTGTAACTATGCTATATTTGTCTTGCAATATTTTCCAAGTTTTCTCTTTTTGTCTTTAAGATAATGCTTATTCTTATCTTATTGCTTGAGGTTGTCATAATGTACTAGACTATATTACTGTACTTGACATCTAGTTTAGCTTGTGTGGTCCTTCACATGAAGTAGTATGGGCTAGTAACTCAATGATTTACTCAATCTTCAGGGCTAAAATCTAAAACTTATATAGTGCATGGATATCATATCAAATTTCAAACTGTTTATACTGTTTTTTTCCCTCTCAAATCATCCGGCTATAATGGAAGATGGGATATATTTTTAGATATTTGGTATAAATCTCATCCGGCTATAATGGAAGATGGGATATATGTTTTAGATATTTGGTATAAATCTGGGAAGCTATATATATTAAGCAGATTGCAGTATGAAAAGAAAATTTTATTATGTATTTTATTATTTAATAATGTAATTATTATTTGGAAACTAGGGTTTGTAATATGGGAAACTTGGATAAATTGGGATTTAGAAGAGATGTGAATAAGCTTTTGGTCTGATTAGTCCTTATCTTTTCTTAAATATATTTTTACCCAGTTACAGTCGTTCCCTCAGACTATGGGATATTGAATTGAGCTGAGCTTAGGGAATTTTTCCCTTTTTTTATTCCCCTACCCGTTCGGTATCAAAGTAGTCGTTATATATTGTAAGAATTTGCATTCCATTCATCTATCAATCAGTCAACAGATTGTATGAAGTCATCACCCAAGTGCAGACTTTCAAAAGGAGACATTAGGTTATAAATTGTAATAATTTCTCTCTTTGCTGATGTACTCTTCCCTATTCATTGTTTCATTTATGTCAGTATCAAGGAGAGCATGGTTGGAAGCCATCAAACTATCCAGGATTATGCGAGAAGATCTTGGCAAAGAGCCAGACTGTGGTGTGTGTTGATTGTAGTAGGCTAATGTTATTTTATTCTTCTTCTTTCTAATTTCTAATTTCTTTTGTTTTTTTATATAAAAATTAAAAAAAAAAAAAAACTAACCTTCATAATCAGAATTGATTTTCATTTTTTTCTTACAATGTCAGTGAACTGTTCCACTTATGATTCTTCTATCCTGATTTGAGTAATTTGAAGAACTTTGGCAAATAAGATGATGATTTGATACAAGTTCCAAATCCCATAGTTGGCTTACCTATGGTTTTTCCATAACAATTCCAACATTTTCAGACTGGCTTTTTCCTGGTGCAATATAGTCATTTGTGGCGACAACATCTTGACAGACTATTTGATCTGTACTCTGTGGGAAAGCTAAAGGTAATGTGTGCGTATATCTGTGTATCATTGTGATCGTTCATAACTATCTGCATGTACATCTTAAGTTTACAAATGTTATCCTTCTAATTTTCCATGCTTCTGAAGTTCACTTCTATTTACTTCTGGTTTGTGCACATAGGTTGCTCTAGATCCAAAGAGATTTTCAGGCCTACAATCTGTTGCTGATGCAGTTGAGTATCTCCATTCAGGTCAAAGTGTTGGGAAGGTATTTACTTACTGATGAAATTAAATTTTACTTTCGTACGTTTTACTGTCATGTTCTCCGATAAAAGCAATGAGTGGATATTTATTATATCTTGGCACTTTTTAGTGTTTTTCTTTTTTAAATGTTAGTTTCAATTGGAGAACCTGGTTAAACTCCACCTAAGTTTTGTCCAATTAACAACTCCCAATATACACCTGTGCTTCTAGACAATCTAGCCCTGAATGCTTTCATCTTATCAAATAAATCTTGCAGGTTGTTGTCTGTCTTGACCCATCTTTCCATCGTCAAGTGGCCAAACTATGACTCCTCAAGGATTATACTATTGTTTCATCAATTTCAAATATGGAATTGTGAACTGAAGGAGGTGGAATGAAAATCAGCGTCCACTATTTTGCAGCTCTTACTCAATATGCTACTGCTATCTACTAAGATGCGACTGAAGAAGATTGGTTCTGCACTTTCAAATTTCTTGTCTGTTCAACTCCAGTATAATATATTCTCGCCTTTATTTTGAGTTACTTTGAGGTTGTGTAATCAGTAACAATAAATGTATGTAAAATCCAGACGTCCTTTAAGCAAGTTTGCTTTTTTGTTAGACAATAGATTCCTTTCCAAAACTCAGGGACAAGTATGAAGCATCCATTTTGAATTGTGTTTTTATTTACAAAAATGATCAGATGAGTGAGTCTGGCTCACTAGAATTAAGGTAGGCCTCATGGTTTAAAGAACGAGGTCCATTTTTAATTCTGGTAACGACTATTAAGCCTATCTGATTTACCCATTGAATCCCCCCACCCAAAACGGAAAAAAAAAGAAAAAGGGATGTAATATGAAAACGAAAACTATTTTATGATCAGTTGATCACTGCTTCTGGGACAGCATATTATGAGCTGGCTTTATGGTTAACCATGGTCTGGGAACAAGCTGAGCGTCATGAATCATGATAGCTTCGGATAGTGACATTGAAGAAAAAACATGCCTTTCAGAAATTTCATCAAACACCTTGCAAGTCAATCCGGATTTCCCCAAGCGGTATAGCTTCATGAGCTTGATACTCACCACTCAGAGACAGGTCCGAATGAAGATGGTCACCGAAACATCAGAGCGTGACTTGAGAAAAGAAAGACAAGATACACTGAACTTTCTTAGGTCCTACAAGGTTGGTTTTATTCCCTTTATCTCCATATTTTACGTGTAGATTATTCATGAAATATAAATTAATTGATTTAATGCTTTGCTTAGCAATTCTATACCAATAGTAAGATTTGGAAGAGAACAGCAAAAAAGCTCCAAATGACCCCGTGAGGCTAACTCAAATATAAGGAATTGAACAAGATACGGCAAGTAGTCCAGAATTTAAACCCTTAATTTTTTTTCCTTTTTCTTTTTAAAGAAAAAAAACTCCAAATTCTCTGTCGATCCTGACCAATAATGGCATATGCATCTCAGAGATGGCCAGATGGTGCATTCGCATTTGAATATATTATTTCGAAACTCCTTTTAAGATGTAAAAATAAAAGTAATTTTTTCTCCCCTAAAGTCAGTAACAAAAACTGGAAAGATGCAGCAGGGAACTCAATTCTTTCTTCAATGTATATTCATTCCTTTAAAGGTCAAATACACCAGCCTACACAAATGAAAGATTTATTCAGTAGCAAGACATCACGTGGTGGGTTAACTAATCATGTAGGTATACCATGCAATACAGCTTTTAGTTGGGATATAGTTCTAGTATCAGATACTTACGTCCAACAGTTGGGGTTGAATTCTGAATTAACCATGTTTTCATCCTGCACATGTTTACATATACAATTCTTCCGTAAGAGTGGAATATAATTTACTCACATCAATTGGTCATCTTGAAATAAAGCCTTGGAAACTGAATTACTTCTTTGACTCCCGTCAACCCTGTAATGGTCATCATCCACCTTGCTGGTCCATGAACATGAACGCTTGTTTCCGGTCAATGGGGTCTCGCATACTGTGTCATAGCTTGCCCTCTCCCGCTTCTTCTTCTTCCTTGTTGGCAGCTTTCTAAAAGAATCTGACTTGAGTTTCATAGACATCTGCTTTGGGGCCCAAAGTTTCTGCAAATCAGGAATGCAACTTGTGAAAGATGAAAATCTTCTTGCCCTTTCTCTCTTCTTCTTGGCTTCTACTATTTTTGGATCCTCCTGCTGTTTATTTCTTTCAAGGCTTCCATTTGCATTCTTGAGGAGCTGAAAGGGCTCATTTTCCGACGATATGGGACCACTACTACTTACATTATTTTCACCCATCTCATCTCTGTCGGCCTTTCCATTCCAGGATTTGTTGCTGTCTTCACTGATGAGAAAATGATTTGGGGTTTCATCCTCTTCGGCAAACAGCAATAGGTCCATCTTGTCGTAGATTTCATGAACCACATCTCCAACGGAATGAGAATACCTGAAATTCCAAATTCTTCAAGATCGCAAGTCTAATGGATTTTCATTTTTCCTTCATCACTTTATGCAAATTCAACTGACTTTTACTGTTGCCAAGTTTTTGCTTATTTAGAAGACAGCGGAAATTCAGTTGCAAAGGCAAAAGAAAAAACAAGAGAAGTTCAGTGCAACGTCAAAGGTTAATTCAAGACGGTTAATGAGGTATTTCACACTGATGTATCATATCATACTCATGGTCTTTAGGTGACACAATAGCCTGCCCGACAGGGTGGAGGTCACGGGTTTAAACCACGGAGTGCGTGCGTGGGTCATGGGTACACTTAGTTGTTATGTAACTAAAAAATATATTATACTCATGTTTTAGGGAGAAGATACCACTTCACATGGACCCCTCTCCGGTGAACATATTTTGACCAACAGCAGAGCAACTACACACACACACCATATATGTTAGAATAAATGCACAAAATGATAAACCTAGACTTATGCGTCCAACTCCAAAGAGAAGCTAAAATCTTTTGTCCTTGCATTAAGAAATACTGAATTACTTTACATAAAAAAGCATCATCGAACATCTATAAAATCTATCAACCTTTGGATACGAATATGTACCTGCTTTTTATGATCCTTGCCACATAATTATCAAGGTTCCAATCACCAAAGAATCCCCCTTCCATATGGCACTGAATATTCTCCAGAAGAAGGCAAATTTGCTTAACCATCTTCTGTTTGCCAGACTCTTCAACTCCACTTCCAACATCTGATTGTAGGATTTCCATCCGAAACAAATCTGCAGTTCATATCTTGTTCTCATTAAGGTAAAACATGGAAACAAAAGAAGCCAAAACTATAATAACAACGAAATATGAGCTGCACCACAACACATGCACAAATTACGCAAAATGTCTCCAAAGGATACTCTCTAACTATTTGTCCTGCGATGGGAGAAGAAGTTCCAGTCTCAGATGCCTGAGAGAATGGATTTTTGCTTTTATGCTTTGTGACTAACTCTTTTGGCTCCATTAATAATATTTTGCTAAGTTCAGCCGCAATCATGCTATCATATGCATCATTACATTTCGAAGAATTTTGACTTTCAGAAATGGTTTCTCTGTCAAACTTCTTTGATAGCCAGTAGATGGATGAGTTCACAAGTCGCTCAGCCAAAGCCTGCAAGTCTACGTCCTCAGATGCAATTCCCTGATGGATCTTGTCGGAAAGAGTACTGAAAAACCCTTCAGATGTTTCTGACCCAGTGTCAAGCACAGCACCGGCCTGTACTCCTGAAGCCTCAGTCAGAGTGTTCTCTCCTGCTGAGGCAGATGAGGAGATTGGCAGCTGACCATCTTGGGGTGATCCAGTCAATCTAGTGTCGATGTTTTCTGGAATTAACTGATTTGGCTTGGATGTATCAGACACAATTATATCATGACAGTCAGGTTTCTTCATCTGCTTCATCCAGCACTTTAAAAATTTCAACTTTTTTGACTTTTTACATTCCCTGGCATGGTAAACCCCATGCAAGTCTATGTCAACCTGATCATATGCCGCTTTCCAGAAGGTGCTCCACGTGAGTTTTTGAAGGCTCTTCCTATCCATTATGTTCTTTTTCTGATGACCCTCAATCACCGCACCACTCTTCTTATCTTGAGAATCCAATAGTTTATTGCGTTTTTTAAAGTTGATATCAGGCTTGCAAACGTCAGCACTCAATGTCCTGATATGTTGAGCCATATTTTCTCCTCCAAAATGAAGAACCATATCTGGATCGTCTATTAGAGATAAGAGAGCAGAAGATATTGTAAAAGGCCTTAGAATGCCCGTAAATGAACCACCGTCGCTATTGGAAAGGTACACCAATGCCCAGCAACCTTCGTTATAAAGAAAACTACAGAGCATTTGCCAGATGGGTTCAGAATTTCTCTGCCACATGAAACCAAATTCAACTGCAAGAATATCAAGAACCCTATCTGCGAAGAATTCATTTGAAATTCCCTTCCTCTGTTTCTTAGATTCACCAAACACTTCTCGTACAAGAAAAGAATCAGATATGCGATCCCCTAGTTTCAAAAAAGCATCATTCCTCTGTACAGCCTTAATATGAAATTTTGTGATTCCATTACCAAACTGCTTCCAAAATTTTTCCTTGTGTTCACGGCCTCCTTTTGGCGGATTAATCAATTCTGGATCAAACCGAACATCATCATATTTACCAAAGAACCTGAATTTGATCAACTCAAGATCACAACAGTTATATTCTATGGGATTCCTACTTACATCTAAGATCTGAAGACTCAGTTGGACATGAAGTTTACTAGAGTAATCATTTATATCGAGAGAATACGATGACACTCCAATTTTCGGATAAATTAAACCAAAAGGAAGCAGAGCGGAACCAAGTATTACCGAATCCACAGAACATAACCCCCAACCCAAAGCTCTAGTTCCACTCTCAAAGAAACTATAAACCAGTTTAATTTCATCGGTCTCGTTCTTATGCTCATAACATCCAGATTCACACTTCACATCAACCCAACTGAAATGAATGTCCCTACAACCAAATGCACCACTCACACTCCTGAAGAACCCAGAGAATCTCTCACAAAATGGACCCACATTTTTCAACGACTCGTGACCTAGCTCCACATCGAAAAATTCAGACAGACACTTGAATGATCTACAAATAGGCGAAAACAAAACAACCAAATTCGACCGAACAACTGGGTAATTCAGAACAGCATCTGGTATAGGAGAACATATTACCGAGTCCCAAGCATAGTCGTGTACAATCTGTTGCACCGATGCGGCAAGATGTGAGGCCCTGGGAGGAGAGGGATCCAATGGATTGTGAAAATGAGGCAGAGAAGTGAGGGTCTGCGAGAGAGATTGGAGGGTAAAGGTGGAGTCACTGAAAGAGAGAGAAAGTGAGTGATTGGGGACAAAATGGTGGAGTTTAGAGGACGAAAGAAGGGGAGAAAGCGAGGAAAAGAAGAGCTTAAAGCAGAAGAGAGAAGACGAGAGAGGAGGGAAGGTGAGAAGGATTTTCGTTGATGTGAGAAGGGAATTAATGTAAGGAGTGGGATCCTCAAGATGAAGAAGTGGGTTGAGGTCTATGAGAAGAATCAGGCGTTCCGTTTTACTGTAATCTGTGATTCCATCAATGGCGTTTCCCGCCATCGAAGACAATGGCTGATGTATAGTGACTTCGAATCGATCAATGGAATGTGGTGCCGGCGGGAGAGACGGAAGAGAGCTTCTGCCTTCTGGATTGGATTGCAGCGGGAAAGAGAAGGAAAGAAACGGTGTCGTTTGGCCAGGCCACAGGGATACCCAATGTGAATTGGCGGGATCTAAAAGATTGGCAGTAAAAAATACTAAAAATTTCAAAACATCCTCAATTCAATTTATTTTCCTCCAAGTTTTATTTTGGGAATAAAGATACTAAGCTCACTATTTCGTTGTCAAATTGACTGATTTATTTTGCTTAAATTGTAAATTTTAGTCTTTAAACAAAATTCTAACGCTTTATAATTTAATTATTTTGACATGGTCATTATCAAAACTTTGACCAGTATGTGACGGGATTTCTTCGTATAGTTTATCGCTTCAAATCTAAATAATTATATATACTACAAAAAATTTAACAAAATGCATTATTCATAATTACAAATTAATTTTTGAAAAAAAATAAATAATATTACTCGTTTTTCAAACTTCCTAAGCTAACAATTACAAAAATGAAGTTACACCATGATGACCCAAAACTTGAATCGGCCATATTGGGGCATCCTACAAGAAAGAAACAGAAATTTAAAATCTAAATGTTTGTCCCATATAATTTACCCCTGTAGCCAACTTATTATTAACAATTTTAACTTCTAAAATTTAAAATCTACTTATTTTAATTTGGCTAAAAAGGAGCGTATCTAAATGTATGAGATTAAATACTTAAATTTTATTTTTTAGGAAAACTCTAATTATAAATGATACCTTTCTTTCCATGTCTTCTAGCAACTTTAATTACTTTGATTTCACGTTTCTGTGAAATATAATACGAATCGTCTGGATTATTAAGCTTTCAAAAGCATTGACTAATGATGGAAAATCAATGGAATCACATTTTCAGCTACTACTACATCGCATCTTTCTCTTATGTATGAAAAAGCACTTTCAATTAGAGTAAAAAAAAAAATCACATCTCTAAAACCATCTAATCTAATTATATACTTTGAAACCCGTTGAAAAAGAATGCAATGTGAAAATTGAAACACTCTCTTAGCTCAAGGAAATCAGCTAAGGGAGTATTGAGCTTAAGAAATTCAGGAAAAGCATCCCTTCCGTGTATACATTAGTTTCATAAATTTTGGATCAGAATTAGAAGCTACATGTTTCTCAAGTCATTATAAGTAAAACTCCGTTTAGTTACAAAATACCACATCTCAATCAAAATCTGTCCTCTTCATGTTCATAATCAGGACCTAGAGATGCAGGAACAATAATACAAACTAAGTTAATCTCAAGAAGACCCCTTTTTCTCAGGGCATTTGTACATCTCAGAGAACCAAAAAACTCTGATGTGCTGCCTTGAAGCTTCCACGGCATCAAAATAAGTTCTTCCAGCTATAACCCAACAACGAGGACTACCTTGTGCCTTCATAAAGAGGAGAAATAAGAGGCTTTAAAGTGTTGACACGCACCAGAACCACAAATTCCCAGCACATTAACATGTCATAAGTTAGTTAGGAATATTCCGCACCTGTTCTATGGACCATTAATTGAATCTAAGTACTTTGAGTTTGTGTTATGTGATGATTAGGGGTAGTTAGGTAACGGTAAAGGAAATTGGGTAGTTAGAGGCTCCTCTATATAGGGTGATAGGATGAATGTAATGGGCATCTATGAATTGAATAATATTTTTCAACAATTTATACAAATATATCAGTTGGTATCAGAGTCAAGATCCATTTAAGGGGAAGTATTAGTATGGTGATTATGGGTAGTTAAGAACGGTGAAGGGAATTTGTCAATTAGAGACTCCCTTATTAGTGTAAATGGGGAGATAGTGCGAATGTAATCCATGCATCATTTATGATACTAAATCTGCTAGAGATATTTAAGGCTTAACTTCTATAACCAGAGACCAGAATAGATGACCTTTCATTATACCACGTAATGTATTCAAAGTTTAAACATTTTAATTATGATCGTAGAGAGAATCACAGAACATGCGTTATGAGAGAGAGAGAAATTGTAAAAGGGAGTTACTTGCTCTGACTCTTTTGGAGCTCCTGTTCAAGTGTGAAGCATCCAAATCTTCATCTCCTTCCTCTTTGTTTTCTGATTTATATGCTCTAATTATGAACACCTAGAAGTCAAAAATAAGAGCTCGTGAGTTTTGACAGGCCCAAAAAAATCAAGAGCACACATAAGTCTACCTAATGATCACCTTAAATTCTGTGGGTTTGATGAGTTGAAACACCAATGCATCCCCATCAACTAGTTCATGATCAATTGAGAAACCTCGCCAACCACCACTAAGACCAGTTTTATCAGCAAGGTATTTGGTAGGAGACTTGTTCCTATCCTCATCTATTAGAGTTATTGTTTCATCATGGTGAGGAAGATAAGTTTTGCAGAAATGAACTGGAAGACCCTGTTCAGAACAAGCAAGAAAAACTCAAAACTTGCCATTAATGGAAATCATTGGTGAGGAATGAAGAATACAGAGTATTTCCCTTTTACTTACAAGCCAAAATCCTCCAGTGACATGTGATTGGAGCATAGGCTTGATGAAACTTGGGTATTTAGAATCTAAACCAGAGAGAAGTTCTTCGGCTCTATCAATTGCATATTGCCTAACTTCATCTGAAGCATAAACTCGATTTAGCAAGTCCCTTTTCGGATAGGACCTACAAGTCATTTTCCATATGAAAAATTTGATCTTAAAAGAAGCGTGAACAAGTGACAAGTATAAAACTTGAGCTCACCTTCTTGGTCTCAGCAAAGGTTCAATGGGGCCCTTGCAAGAATAAAAACAATCCCTCTCAAAAAAACTTACATATTTGACGACAAAAACTGATTCAAAGAAAAGGAACGAAGCCGTTAAAGAAAGAGCAGAAGATTGAAGACTAACTTCCTTGTAGTTTGGAGGAGGTAAGCTGGCTACGCGACTAGACCTTCTTACTGGGGCCGAAGAAGAAGACTTACCGGCTGACGTGCCACCCTAGGCTTGGCCTGAAACAACAAAAACCAGACCCAACAAAGCTCATAAGATTTGTTTACCAGGGGAAAAGAAAAAACTCATAAGATTTTCTGATGAAGAAGAGAAGAAAACAAGTGAAATACAGGGGAAGACTTAGGTGATGGCAAAGGCTTCAAAGCACTAGCAAGCTTGTTGAGGTTTAGCTCCTCCATTCTCTTCTTGTTTTCTTCTAGCCGTCGTCGCCTGCATTCCTCGTATGTTAACTTAGAAACCACCATTTTTTTTTAGTTTAAGTTGTGAAGGATAGATTTTGCTTCACAGGTGTGCTTGCTGGAAGGAAAAATGTAAACTCGAAGTTAGGACTTATGAGGAAATGAGATGAGAAGAGCAAGAGTTGATCGTTGCGAGGGGAGGGAGCATGTGAGCGCCATATTACCTTAACGGCTAAACGTTCAATTCAAATTCGAAGAGAAGCCTTGCACTGTTCTTATCTTTCCTAATCAAGGTAATCGATGAGAGATATTATGGGTTCATTTCGATTAGCGATTGAAGAAGTAGTTTATTATCAATTTGACTCTTAAAAAAATAAAGTTGAGTAAAAGTTAAATTAGATAAGTTGAATTGTGTTTAAATTGGAATTCAGAAAAACTAGTTTGTAAAAATGAGATTGATAAAAAGTTGTTTGGATTATGATTGGATAGCACCCCAAACCATGGTTTGGAGACCCAAACCATGGTTTGGGGAAAATGCTACCCAAACAGCCTCTCCAAAAACCAAAACCATGGTTTTGGGTCAAAACCATGGTTTTGACTCCAAAACCATGGTTTTGGAAAAAGCAAAATTTTTTTGCTTTTGGAGAAAAAAGGGAGAGTGTGAGGGCTTATATGATATGTATCTTGTTATTTTTTTATAAACATATTTTTTTATAAATATATTAATCTTATATTTTATAAATATATATAGACATTAATTATTTATTAATTATATTATCTTATGTATTATTAATTATGTTGGTAAAAAAACATATTATTAACAATTTTATTTCTTCAAATTAAAATATATCATAAAATCTATTTTTTCTGTAATTATCATATTAACTTATGTCTTTTTTTTAGTAATTTGTATATATAAAAAGTGCTTCTGATAACAACTATCCAAACACTCTCACTTCTCAGAATCACTTTTTTACAAAATCTATTCTTCACAGAATCTATTTTTTCCAGAATCTATTCTCCAGAATCACTTTTCCAAACCACGGTTTGGTTTCATCCAAACACACCCGAGTAAAAGTAAGCTTGTTTATAAAATTACCAAAATGATTATGAGTTTTAACAAATAATAAATCATTATTAAAAAAATTAATTTTACATAATACAATGGATTTAAATTAATTTAATATAAATAAGCGAAATTTAATGAGTGAATCAAATTTTAAAAATTTAGAAAGATCATAAAAAATATTTTAATAATGATTGAGTAAGTAATTTTAACAAAAATACATTTCTAACATATTTATTACTTTCAACTAATTTTAACTGATTTTTTGTTATCTATAAATTAGTTATTTGAGGCTTATAATAAGAACTAAAAGAGGTAATAAATTTCTTAACTTTTTTTCTCTCCATATTTCAAAAGATATAAGTCATAAGCTATTAATTTTAGGTTATAGCTTATTGTAACTTTTCATACAAAAATCAGATTGCTTAATCGCTAAGCCAAACAGCACAAATTCTTCAAATGGGCCTATGCTTGAAAAAATGCAACTTATTTGCCTCCAAACTTTTAGCCAAACAAGCTCTATAAGGAGGTTTGTCAACCCATTAATTTAGTTATTTGGAGTTCTCTTTTTGACATTCCATAAAATGGAACAGTACGACCGCGATATATATTTCGTGGCTGTTTGGGATCATAGTGGAAATTTCGTATAAACTTTATGTAAGCCGAAATAAAATTTCTTTAACATACTTGTCTCATATTCCTCAAATCACTATTAAAAAGCTACTTATAAGCTACTTTTAAGTTGTCTCGTATTCCCATTTCATTTGATTCGTGAGTTGGTTGCCTCGCTGAAGTTTAAGGAATAAATCATTCTATTTAGTTTAGTTTAGTTTTATTTATGTGAATAACTTATTATAAATTTTATATTTTATAATGATGAAATGGGAATATTGGAAAATAGTCTCCATCGAAAATTTTATTAATAAGGAAAAGTTAACGAGAATGACCTAAATCAGTCTGTGGCTACAAAATTTACAAAGTAGTGGTACAAAATTTTTAATGGGAACTTTTTTTTAGATTTTCTCTAATGAAGATTATAGACAGCTTATTATATAAGTATCAATGATATCAATTTATTTTGATGTTAAAATTTTAAATTTTAAATGTAGAATAATTTTAATTCTATTTAAGTATTTTTTATATATATTTTTTATAAAAAAAAAAGTTTAGGTGAATTGGATTCTTAAAATTCAACACAAGCAAAACATATTTCCAGACTCAAAAAACATTTATAGAAATAAATCGCCCACTAATAAAACCCAACAGTAAAATTTAAACTCACAACCTTATAAATCATGAATTAGCTCCTTATCATAAGAACCAACCTTTGTTGGTTATTTATTTATATTTCTATAATAAAGAAGATGCCATCTTATTCTAACCTTGGTTTATTTTTAAAAATAATAATAATGCCATGCTTTTTGTTCGGCTTTCCATAGGAGTCCCGCTTTGGTTTCATTAAGTAAAGAGAAAAGAAAGTAGGGGAGAAATTAATTGAATAAAAAATAAATTTGTTATTAAGTAAAATATAAAATTTATAGCAAGTGATAATAGTACATAAGACAATGCCTAACTTGGCATATAAATTGTTGTACACATAACTCATGATTCAAAGAAGAATCACTAATTCCACTCGAGACCTGGGTTCCTGAACTATAGGGTCCATTAACATTGAAAAGAGCAACAGCATTGGTTTATGGACCCCAGCACAGTAGCAGAACTATGGACTATTATGAAACTGGGGCTAGGAATCTGAAGAGCATCCAGGTTCAGACGGATAGAGAGAATAATATTGAGCAACCGTAAGTTGACTTCATTGATTGAGGATGTGTGAGAGCTGATCATGGAAGATCGGGTGACTACCTTGAGACACGCGGCTCGTCAGAAGAATCATTGTGCAGACTGGCATTCGAAGTCTGTTACTCATGGACCTATTGGACGCTCCTCTTGGCTGTGATTAGGATCCTGCCAACGAAAGCAGCAGCATGGACAAAATATAAACTGGCAAGCAGCTTCTTTTCCCCTTTATTTGCTCTTTAGACACGTCTTAACTACAAGTTTCCAAACATCACATCTCATTAACCTCAATATATATACACGCACACACACATCCATGTACAATATAAAAACTCTAACAAGATACATTCATTGAGTCGTGGACAGTGGGGCTCATTTTCTAGGCTCCGGTAAACCACAAAACTCACACTTGTTTTGATCAAAACTACAACCAAACTGGACCCTAGCACTAATCTTTGTACATGCAAAACATCTTCTTGCAAGCCTCTCCTTAACTCACTCCCGCGTCAGGCAATTAGATGATCATTAATTTACATCCATGAGTGGGTTCTTCCCATGCAAACTCTATTTATATGAAACACTCGAACCATTTCAGTTACTCTGCAGAAAGGTCATATTGTCCAGTCAAGTTCTTGCAGGAAAGCTGATGTACCATACTCTTGCAATTAAGTTTGTTATTAAGTATCTCCTCAAGTTAGATAAGAAAACGATTTCATAATCTGGAGCGACGGATACACTTGACACTGCTGAAGGGTGAACGCCCGCGAGCAGATGCAAAAGGCTTCCCATTCATGGTCCCTGAAGATTTAACATCCCACTCCTCGATGTTCTTGGGAACACAAACATCGAAAAGAAATTGGCCAAGGACACTATGAGCATTGATGCTCGGGAGACTGGGCAGACAAACAGATTTTTCTTTCTGTTCATCCTGTGGAGTGCCAGAATCTCTACTGTCATGATATGCTGCGGAGCTTGGCAGAAAGAAATGATCACTTGGCTCTGATGCAACTCTTCTGAGGCTCCGATTTGAATGACTTGCTGCCTTCTGTAGGTCGCAGATTAACTCTGAGATCTCATCATGCATACTTTCCATTCCAGTTCTCTTTCTTTCCATCATTTTATGAGAATAAATCGAGGTTGCCTTCTCTAACAAATGGGTCACAGCAATTCTGTACTGGATAGGATGATGCTTGTAATGACCTGGAACAACAGAAAATTAATGGTGTTAGAATGCTCCAAGTGCTTACACTGGTTTATTTGCAAAGGAAGACTTTGCCCGAATAAGGTAGAACTAGATGAAGACCATATATTTAAGTTTCCAGAATGCATGCAGAAACCTTTGACTGCAAATCACTAGAGTCAAAAGCAACGCTGAAGTCAGCATTACAATCAATATTGGTAGCAATGCAGGAAAGTGAACATAACCATAAAAAAGTATCAGACACACCTAAGTGAGAAGGGCTACTCAGTTTTACAAGGGTAACATCTCCACCAAGACCCTGTAATCGTTGGACAAAAGTATGGATACTTTGAAATGCCACAATCTCATCTTTCTCTGAACAGAAAATGAGAAATGGAGCCCCAAAATTCTGAAGAGAAAAATGAACATTAGAATGAATTAAAACAATACAATCATACCCAAAAATAAACTCCAGCTGGACAGAAGAGATACTTACAATAGAAGAATACAAAGCTTGCCAATGTTCAGCAGCTAAGGATTCAAACCGGGTTAGGTATAAAGCATCAAAACCAGAAGCCACACATTTTGCCATCCAGGAAACAACCTTTGATGGTCCTGGCACTTTTACAATCGCTGGGTGTAGAGCGAAGCGGATGCCAAAATCACTTGTAACATCTAGTGGGCCAGAATCATAGATGTGTCCAGAAACAAAGTTCCTGAGCAGTTGATAGTTATGCTTCACATGATAAAACAATAATTAATATAATCTAAATGGTAAAAAGGCTAAAGACATCACTGACCAAGGAAAATATCAAGGAATGAGAAAAGGATTTTTAATTAAGAAAAAAGGAAGTTATTAACTAGGAAAATGCATTACCAGGTAGAGCTGACCTTCACATTTTCCCTCAATAAGCTGCATTTACATGAAAAGTTATAAGAATGAGCATTTCCAATCCAGCAAAAATTACATACTTCAACCAATAAATTCTCCACACCAAAGATAAGAATGGGTGATTGGAATTACCTGAACTACCTTGTACAGACAAGCTTTTGATCCGGCAGAAAAAGAAGCAAATACCACAGGGCATGATCTTGTCCTCAACTCCTGCATAACACAAAGAAACTGTTTGCTCAAAACCTCAGATACAAAGCTAACAAATTATACCCGGAGATTGCAGCCTGAACATCATTAAATTCCTCATGTCTGAGAAACTCAAATGAAATCTTAGCACAACTTCCCATTTCTAATACTAACCTTGATGAGTTCATCAAGAACGGAAATTGCCAATGACAGTGCACTCTCATGATGAAACCTACAAAATGAAAAACAATAAATTAGAGAATTCTATTAGTATGCCAACCAATCACTTCAGGTGAGAAGGCATCTGATAAGCCACTTGAATACAGTATAGCCCACTCAAATCATTTTTGAATGATTATCGATTAAGCATGTCTCTACATGTGCTAACAGAAAAGTACTAGGGTCCTTGTTACTGAGAATCTACCATTTAGTCATGCCCGACACCTTACTCTCATCCTGACATATTCACTTATAGAAACTTTTCCATTCTCACTCTCATTAATCATATTTGAAGGTAAACTTCGTTAACTTTAATAGGGGCGCTTCAACAGTTCGACCACAAACTAAAACCTTCCAAAACAATATTTACACGCATAGACACATACTATAACAAGTCTTAGATATTTCCCCTCTACTCAAACGGTGATGATAACCTTCATTGGGTGCCTAACCTACAAGAGTTACAAATCATTCCCAACGGTGATTCAATTTATATATTAGCCAAACTGTACAGGCACAAATATACATAGATATCCTCGATTTGTATTTGTGTGAACGTGAAATACATTGCTTGCCGGCTTGCCGATGCCTTTTCTGATAGTTAGATAGTTTAGTATGTGCTGCAAGTCCATAAAATGGCCTCAAATGGTTGTAGAGTGTGTGTGTGTGTGTGTGTGTGTGTGTGTGTGTGTGTGTTTGTGTGCCCAGTAATCTTCATCAACATATTGACTCTAGCACCGTGTGTTATAGGACATCCAAAGTGAACTCAACCTCAACATGCACCTTCATGTCACGAGTTATAACGCAGGGACCTCTGACAAGGACATATCCAAGGGGAGCAAGCACTATATTTCACAACTTCGTTAAGAAAAAGAATTAATATTATTAAAAAAATTAATTTTATTATCCAAAACAAAAGAGTAAAATTTAACTGCAGCCCCCAATATTTTACATGGTGTTCACTTTTGCACCCTCAAATGGCAAGCTCTGGGTCCATCACTGACCTCCGATGTTTACAGCATCAAAACACTGGACTGAGAGGAAGGCCAGTGTTAACAATCAGCTATATCAAATAAATGACAACTTCTTTTCTTAAACCCAAAAACACTTGAATTGCAAGAAACATAACTCGTAATAATTATTGACACCGATCCAGAAAAAACTAAAAACATGCCAGGCCGCAGTGAGCATGATTATAATTTCCAAAACCAAGGAATGCTATGCGACAGCCTCGTTCCCCTAATTCAAGTTGTACTCGACAGACAGTTGACTGTCGTGAGATTTCATCCTCATCTACGGCCAGGCATGACATCTTCATATCTGAGCAGCTTATTTATCCAACGAATGCGCTTTACTACCAATCAAAGCATTTATTAAGAAATCTAAGGAGCCTCAAACCTTAAAGAACAACAACAAAACTACATCCAAGAAAGAAACCCCATACAGTTATCACAGCAGGAAACTAAGACTAATCACGGAACAAAAATCGAAAAGGATAAAATTGAACGAGAATTCACCGAGGCTTTGTCACTGCATCAATTGAGAAACAAATTTACCGAAGGTTGACAAGAAATAGCAAATTAGCAATGTTGAGAGGAACTGGCGCGTGAAAGTCATACCAAGAAAAAAAATTAACAGAAATAGACTTACGCAGAGATATAATGAGCATGACAAACAAGAGAATTCCACCCTAAGGATGAGTACAAATCCACATAATCCCATAGTTGGCTCTCCTGAACAGAAACCCAAGCAAAGATTACAACGATTCCTTTGAAATCAGTGTCCTCCTTTCTTCCCCAGAAGATATTTCCACCCCTGACGCCTCCACTGGAGCCGCCGCCACGTTCACCTCTCGGCATAGCTCGAGCCGAAGTTCACCTCTCGGCATAGCTCGAGGAAGACCCAGTTTTCAGAACAGCTCAAATTTCAGGATTCTGAGAATTTCAGGTCGAATATTCAAAAAAATAAATAAAAGAATGTTACTTTATGGTAGTTGAAGATTTGGGATAATAGTGATGGTGGGAATCATCGGGGCTAGTGTTCATCTAATTCTGGCGAGCAGCACATGATGAATTGTTGGTTAGGTGGCTGGCGATGCTAATTCTGGCGTATCTCCTCTCTCTCTCCACACCTTGCTTAGGCGAATAATGGCCGAAGCGAAACCTGTGAATGTGAATGGGACCACTCGATATTATTCACCACGCGCCACTACGCTTTCCAGGATAATGCTCTCTCTCCACCTCCTATCCTTTCTCGTTATCTCATTATTTTCTCGTTATAAATTAATTATAAGTAAAATGCAGGCGTCATGCGTGATTCATGACCATGTCGATTCTAATGGGAGAGGAAGAGGCAATAACCGGCTAAAATACAATACACTCCGTGATTTTAAATATAAAAATTAGTTAAAAAATTATTTTAATTTTAAATATAAGATCTCATTTAATTTTTTTTATAAGTTCTTCCTCTTTTAATATTTTAGTTTGAATTAGTCGCAGTAAAAAATTTTGTTATGAATTTATATATACGTCTAGAAAAAGTCATAAACAATATATAGGTGTCAATTTCTTGCTTCATTTTTTATGCTAGACACAGTTTTTTTTACCTATTAAATGTGGGTTCCTGTCTCAACAAAAAATTTAAACTCTAGTTCACCACAACATGAAATACTAAGAAGATCAAATTAAAATTTAATTTAATAGAATAATAGACTAAAAATATTTATTTTTATAATTTTTATTTTTTTATGCAAAATATTTTGCGCGTTGTTTAACTCATTGCCAGCAAGCTGTATATTGGCTTTTATGTTAAATAGTGTTTTTACCGCTCCAAAAGTTATCTAATTATAATACATGTTTTCTATGAATTTTAAGATGGGTTGCACAATTTATAAGCTATGAATCACACGTTGTGTTAGTTTTATATTATATTATATTATATTATATATATAAATACATGTACTTCTGGTAAACGAGCTGTCCAGCTGGATATAAATTTAATCAATTAATAATCCGGTTTGCATATATGAGGTGAAAGTTCTTTCATCTTTGTTTCAAGAGAAAAGGCTAAGATTGGCCAAAAAGCCTTATAATCTAACCGCATTGATGCTCTTGTTAAAATGGAAGGCTGTGAACTCAATTCCGTTTGTAACTTCTAGCTATTAAAGCTATGTTTGGATGGATTGAATGAATAGTCAAAAGACTTGCTATATTTGAAAATTTTTCCTCCTAATATTCTTTTATCTCTCATTTTCTCCATATCCACACAAAGTGTTTGCTCCTTCAATTTAAAAAGTTAACCGTGGTGGAGTTTAACCATAGTTTTCAGAATGGTGGCATTGTTTAAAAGTTCATAAGTAATCAGTAATTTACTATTTATATACTCCTCTGATCTTAAATATAAGACCCTTATACACACTAGTATAGGGGTTTTATATTTAGAACCGGAGGAATACTTCTTTTTAATACAGTATAAGAATGCAGTAAAACAAATCCAAATAATACTACCCCCGGTTTTAAATACAAAAGCTATTGACTAATTTGAGTAAATTAAGAAAATAAATTAAGTTATTTATTTGTAATAAATAGGTTTTTTTCCCTAAAATATCCTTACTAACTAAAAATATTGATTAGAATTATTATTATTAGAACGACGATCTTTGAAAAAAAACATAAATATGAGAAACAAAATAGATTGAGATCTATATTTAAGACTAAAATAAGAGTCAAACAAGATCTTATATTAAGAATTTGAGGTAGTAGATGATAAGGATGTGATTTTTACTTCCGGAAAAAGGATGTGATTTTTACTTCCGGAAAACGCATAGAAATATCATGCCATCATCCTAAGCACTCCTGGATTATTTTAATTAGATTTAGGCAGCCTATTTCTTAAAAAATTTTAATATTCACTATTACTATTTTTAAAAAAATTAGAGTTAAAATTTGATTTTTGCTCTATGTTTTAAAAATTAAAAATTAAAATATAGAAAAGTGATAAAATAAAATAAAAATGGAACTGTCCGGAGATCGATCGGAAAATGGAACGATAGCGATGTTACTTTATTTAAGAGTGAAGAATGAAGAGAAAAAATGGAAGCAACAAAAACTGAAAAGCATGTTGAGCTTATCTTCTACAAAAATATCATTCTCTCCTATGAGTGTGTGTATATATACAATATTAAAAATATTATTTCATTTTCAATTGAGATGGAATATATTTAAAATATAGAGAGAGAGAGAGAGCGCGAGAAGTACACTTCTTGATTAGAAAATGTTGAATCGTATAACCCCCGAGTACACTTTTTGATTTGACATGAATTACCTTGAAAAATATGAACAATGACAAATGTTAATACAGTGATTTCATTTTAAGGGTTTTCAAACTATTAATATTGTAATATTTTTAAGTTATATATGCTTGATTAGATGCATGTAGAGAAAAGGAAAAAGAAGTATTTGGGAAGTTAAAAAAAACAAGAAGAAGAAAAAAAGGAAAGATATTCTGGATCTCTCCTTCCAAAAGCTCAAAAGTCATTTCATTACCATCACGTCTTTAATAAGCATCATTAATTAAAACATGTTGATGATGATTTGAACGCACTTTGCTACTCTTTCATCCATCCTAATTGCCTTTATTATTAATCATGCGGCCATTATTATTTTCTTCCATGCTTATTAATCACCATGGCAGTGCCAATAATGTATTTGGTAGAATCCATAGTTGAAACTTTTATTTCCTGTTGAGTACAGATTAGAAGCATGTTAAGTAATGCCTATATTGCACTTCTTTGTTTTATGTTTAAAAAAGATGGTAGATAAACACCATTTTATATAATCAGATCAAGTAATATCATGAAAACAAATACCCCACCATTACAACACGCTTTGAGAACGCTTTCTCTTATCAAATATAATCATTTTGTGGTATATCATAGGTAATAACTATATTAATTATGGGTAGAACAAGAAAGAAAAAAATTATTTTGTAAACATTAACTAAACATAATTATGTTTATTGACATTTGTGCACCAATATACTCCCCAGCAGCGTCGAAAGCTTTTTTGTGAAATGGAAAAAAAATGATAATACCCTTTTACTTATTTTCCTCGATGGTTTTTTTTTCAAAAATTTTGTTGATAGGAAAGAATTGATAGATATTTATACACGGAAAGTATTAATAATCATTAATAAAATTTTTAATGAGAAATTTTCCCCTAACCTTCTCTATTGTTTTGTCATTTTTGATAACAACATGGATGTGCTTATTAATGGGTAAAGAAGGACGGAAAGCAAACCCTACCACGCAGAGAAGAAGAATGATGAGAGGGAATGGGATAAGAGGTAAAGGGGTGGAATTGTTGGCAGTGGGGACAAAATAATGATAATGGAGGGGTCTATGTGTGTATGTACGCTGTTTCTTGTAATTCCGACAATGTCTTCTGTCACACTTCCCTTCTTCATCTCCATTAAAACAAGTATTATTATGTCACCCTCCTTCCTTCCCCCTTTTTCTGGCGAACCCTTTAGTTTATAATAATTATTATGAAACCCCACAAAACAAAGCTGCTTTCCTTTTGCCTCTTTGCTCATTTGCTTCACATTTTGGCTCTGATCAGTACTCTTTCTTTACCTGATCATCAATTATTATAATTCTTGCTTTCAAGGCACCGATTGCCTACTTTCTCACTTCACAGCAGTGCTTTTAACGTTACCATACGTGGGATGTCGTATAAGCACAATGATGATCTCCATCCATACATTATTAGAAAATTGACAAGACATTCCAACACAACACATTCAAATATTACCCTCTTTGAAATTTAACCGTCCAGCTTGCTGAATAAAATGTTTATTATTACTACATAAGTAACGAGAAATGGACCACACATGTCATGTCCGAGAATCTGGATATAACGACCAGTGTAGGTGTGACCAAAGAATCTGGATGTAACGACCAGTCTAGCTGTGGCCTATGGGGGTAATGGGGTCATAGAAATGAAAATGGTTGGGATGTAGGGTGGGGATGATATGCTTTTGTTCTATTTCTAAGCAAAGGGTTAATATTGTCCATATCGGTACCCTATGATTCTTGCAATCATTAACAGTGAACGAAGGACCTAAATTAGTTTGATATGCAGGCATTTCTTTAGGAAGGGCACATGGTCCCCACAAAGCAAGGGGATAAAAACATGGAATCATTGCTTGGGATGGAGAGGATGTTCCCAAACGTGTCCATGAAAGAGAATAATCCCATAAAAAGATCGTCTCAAGCTGCGCGGAAAGCTCAAAAGAATCACTCTCTAAAACGTCCAAAAGCAAACCCCACATTTTAAAAAGATACCTGCATTTGGAGACTTAAACAAAAATTAAAATAAAGACAAACTTTTTTCCTTTCATTACAAAAATACCCATTTTTGAGCAACCCCAAGGGTTTAGCTCAGCCTCAAGTGCATATCCTCCAGAAACTTTCATATAGAAGAGAGTTCAAATGCAATTAAGGCACAAAATTAATGGGGACTTGTCTTTATCTAAGTTAATGTTTTTCTTTCACATTCTGTAGAAAAAGGAAGTTTCCATCAAAGCCCTAAACGATGTCGTAGAGAATCGTAGCTTTCTTACTTCTATTCAACGTGTTAGCTGTACAAAATCCAGCAAATCTACGTCCTCTTCAACAGAAGCCCCGGAAGTGGCACGATCAATTCCGTAAGGCACTTTCATGGCTTCAAATTAAACGAACCCATTCATATTTACCTTGCAATGGCATATCTTTAACAATATCATAGTTGTACCTGCAGAAAAAGGGAAAGTTGTTAGTTAGTTAGGGGTTTGATTCTGCTATCGTGAGCACTTGGGGATCACACTCCTTATCCTGCGCACCACAAATTTAACACTCACTTCTCCGCGAACCGCTTTTGCTCGTATTTCTCCGCCATTGCGAAGAACTCTTCAATCTCCTCCTCTGGCGCCATCTTTGTCGCCGCAAACTTCCGATGCTCACTGGCTTCCGTTGAGGACTTCACCGGAAACACCGTCATTTCTTCCGAGTCTCCGTAAAACTCGTTCAACGAGTACCTGTCTTTGCTACACATGCCATATAATTTTAAAAAGAAAAGGTTATGATGGCCATTCCTCTTCAGAAAATTGCGCTTACGCACCGAGAGTTGAAGAAACAGCTATTTCAAACCTGAATAATTTGACGTGCTAGGAGCTGAGCCTGCCATTTCTAAAACGCTGGTCTGCAGGATCGAGTTTAGAAAATGTATGAATTAATATTAGAAATATGCTTATTAATTAGTCAATAACGGCAATTCGAATAGGATAGAAACATAAACTTGCAATGACTCTGGGAAACTGCTTGGCTACGAAGAAAATACAGGACAAAAGAAGAGAGAAAATATCAATAGTTCAACCAGATAACTATATATCTTACATTCCTTTCGTAGTTTCGTGCTATGGAGGATTTAAGGATAAAATCTACGCAACAGAAGGAAACAAACATTTATGCTATTGTGAGAATTCAAATTCTCAGCAACCAAAAGAAACTTTTGAAAGACATAACGCGGAAGGATGAAAAAAAGACCAAACTGTAACGTAAACAGAGATTCGAAACTGCACCTCCGGATCCAACGCCGTGGCCGTGCTGTTTCCCATAGCATCGATGGTTTCAACATTAGCGCTGGATACCGAGGAACAGGAAAGCGGTAACCGACCAGAAAATGTTCTCCGGAAACCTTAGTTGCAGTGGAATTCACAGAGGTAGCCGGAGAAATCGCCGTGTCTGCCAACTGTGAGCTTCGGAGCTGAACACGGAAGAAGGCAACTGCGGTTGACAAGAACCGAAGTCGGATTTCATTTTCTTGGACACGGAAGTTTCAATAGAAGCTTCCATAGCCGCAAGTGATGAAGAAGCATTGCGTTTAAGGTCACTCATTCTCTCTCTGGTTTTGCACTTTTTGGTTCAGCGAAGCTTGAGAGGTAAAAATGAAGGTGAAAGTGAAAGGGAGCTATAAATAAAGAGAGGGAGTGATATCGGAGGAAAATTATTGCACATTTTATTGATAAAGATGGACGGTTGAGATTGCTTTCATCTTCCTCGTGCCCTGATGGTACTTCTGCTGACTTTCTCAACAGTAGCAGGAGGATATGAGCGAAACGTCATCGTTAGACTGCCCCCGCGTATAAAACAGTATTCCGGGTTTGCCAAAACGCAGACTTCGTGTCTGCCGTTTGTAGGTTGTGTTTTTTTTTTTTTTTTTAAAACATATTTTCTAAAAGCTTATTCTTTTTACTATTCTTTATGTAAATATATATATTTCTAACTATATTCTGTATGCATTAACGCACAAACAAATTTATGAATAATCCAATATCTAATAATAACAACATATAAATTGAGCAGGAGTAGGAAGCTGATTTCATGTATTTAACTTGTAAATAATGTCATGATTTAGAATATTTTACACACTACCTCTGGTCCTAATTATAAAAGTCATTGACTAATTTAAGGAGATTAAGAAAATAAGTTAAGTTGGTTATTTGTCCTAAATAGGTATCGTCTTTCCTAAAATATCCTTACTAATCAAGTGTATTGACTAAAACTATCATTGTTAGAAGGGCTATTTTGGAAAAAATGTATAAATATGAGAGACAAAGTAGATTGAGGTCTTATATTTAAAACCAAAATAAAAGTTAAACAGGGTCTTATATTAAGGATCGAGGGTAGTATATCTCAAGCTCCATATTTTGTTGCGTGTTGCGGCTTAATTAATTCATTGAAATTGGAACCTTATTAATAGATATAATTTTATGAAGGGAAGATTACATTTATATTTAATATTTAATTTCAACGTTATGGTCGTTTTTTTATTTGTATAAATTTACTTAGATTATTTTTATCAATTGACTGCAGCCTCACTTGGCTCAATCACGTAGCCTTTTGGAAAGTTAACTTTTCAAAAAAAAAATAATATATAAGTTATTTAGTTGATTTTGCATTTTTCATAAGCTTACAGTCATTTTCTTAAAAAGATGGAGTATTATATTTATTTGAAACCAAGCAAGATGTGTGTGTGTGTGTGTGTTTGTTTTGGCCTTTTGGGAATCTAACTTTTTTCTCTCTACTTAACCTAACCAAACGAGGCCTGAGCAGTTACATAGAGGAGATCAAATTGAAGGAAAAGGTTAAAAAAAAAAAAAAAAAAAAGCTCACGGAATGATGAGATGACGTACGGTTATAATGGGGAGAAGAACATGACATGAGTATTGTGTGAAGAAATAGAATCTTCAAATTAAATCAGATTATGCCCTAAGGGTATCTTTCCGTATTGATCATTCTGATCTCTGATGTTCTTAGGGAAAAGAATTTAATGGGCAAATTAAACTATGATAACAAAAATTCTTATAATGCAACCAGAGAATCTCCTTCTCATAGCAATTTGAGAATCTTTCTTAATGATTTTAAGGCTAATCTTGTAGGATGTGACCCTGAATGTGTTAATTATTATCACATGGGAGCAATTAATAATAGTTTTAATTCTGGCTTTATAATGCATAAAAAGTATTAAAATAACCAAGTCATAAATAATAATATAGCATCAAATTAACTAACTTCACAGTTGATGAAAATATTACTTTCGGTCCTAATTATAAAACATCGTTTGTAGACTATAAACAAGATCATATAAGTAGGACCGGATGTAATATCTTTGAAAGCATTTTAATTTCCTGCTGTTACAACATCAAATAAGGAGTAAACATTAAAATAAGGGGTTGGCATGATTAGGTATGCTTTTAATTATCATAAATTTTATTATATATCCAAAACAAAAACGCCCAATTTGTTTAATCACAAATAAATATGATGTTTATATCCACGTGCACTTTAATTGATTCTTTATTCTTTAATTATCATAATTTTTAATTGTAAATAAAATATTAATGTTATCTGAAATACTTAGCATTTAATTAAACTGAATAAGGTTATTGCATGCCCCATATGCCCACGCAAAAGATATGCTGGGTCTTAATTTAGTTAGGCTGGAACCCAGAACGTAACGATCAGATAAGATGGCACGTACGTCTTAATTAATTAAGTTAGGTTAGAGATTAAAATAAAAAATAAAAACATTTAATGGTAGGGGTGATTTTTTTTTTTGGGAAAAAAATTGAGGTCAAATTTCTTATATCCATTCTATCGAATTCTCTAATCACATGTGATCATGTATTTTGTTTATTTCATGCGGATTTATAATTAAATAATAATTTTAAAAATATGACACAACTTGATATAATGGGTATGAGAAACTTGATATAAGTAACTAGTTTTTTTTTTCTCTTCTTTTGCTAATCACATGGGAGCAATTAATAATAGTTTAATTCTTGCCTTCTAATGCATAAAAAGTATTTTAAAATAACCAAGTCATAAATAATAATATAGCATCAAATTAACTAACTTCACAGTTGATGGAAATATTACTTTCGGTCCTAATTATAAAACATGTTTATAGACTATAAACAAGATCATATAAGCAGGACCGGATGTAATATCTTTGAAAGCATTTTAATTTCCTGCTGTTACAACATCAAATGAGGAGTAAACATTAAATAAGGGGTTGGCATGATTAGGTATGCTTTTAATTATCATAAATTTTATATATATCCAAAAACAAAACGCCCAATTTGTTTAATCACAAATAAATATGATGTTTATATCCACGTGCACTTTAATTGATTCTTTATTCTTTAATTATCATAATTTTTAATTGTAAATAAATATTATGTTATCTGAAATACTTAGCATTTAATTAAACTGAATAAGGTTATTGCATGCCCCATATGCCCACGCAAAAGATATGCTGGGTCTTAATTTAGTTAGGCTGGAACCCAGAACGTAACGATCAGATAAGATGGCACGTACGTCTTAATTAATTAAGTTAGGTTAGAGATAAAAAAAAAACATAAAAACATTTAATGGTAGGGGTGATTTTTTTTTTTGGGAAAAAAATTGAGGTCAAATTTTTATATCCATTCTATCGAATTCTCTAATTACATGTGACCATGTATTTTGTTTATTTCATGCGGACTTATAATTAAATAATATATTTTAAAAATATGACACAGCTTGATATAATGGATATGAGAAACTTGATATAAGTAACTAGTTTTTTTTTCTTTTTTTTTCTAATGAGGGTAGGGCGATAACATTGACATTTCTTGGACCAATACTAGTGACAGAAGTGTGATTTATATTCACATTTTTTGAGAGAATTACATAAGTTTTCAAAAATAAAATAAAATGATTATCAGTAAGTGGAAATGATAAGTAAGCAGTTGTCATTTACTATTATGAAACTTACTAATACAAGTTGTTCGTTACTGAGATTTTTTTAGTAATTATGTTCCGAAACATCATAGCAACTTTTTTTAAAAGAACTAACACTAACAGCTTGAAATTATATATAAATAATACTACCTCCGGTTCTTAATATAAGATCCTGTTTGACTTTTATTTTGGTTCTAAATATAATATCCCAATCCACTTTGTTTTTTATATTTATATATATTTTTTCCAAAGTAGCCCTTCTAATAATGATAGCTCTAGTCGATACACTTGAGTAGTAAGGATATTTTAGGAAAGACAACACCTATTTAGGACAAATAACTAATTCAACTTACTTTCTTAATCTCCTCAAATTAATCAACTGACTTTTATAATTAAGACCGGAGATAATATTAAATATGCGACCTCGCATTATGCTACCAAGATATAATGAGCTAAGCTTATATTTGATAACTATATTTATAATTTACCCTATAAAATTTTTTTATGTTAAATCAAAGTGGTAGTGAAAAATATATTCATTATATTTAGACATATTTTCAATTTGGTAACTTTCCGAGGATTACATCAATAAATCAAGAATTTGCTAAGTGCAAGGGAGTGAATAAGAATATTATCCACTTAATAGATAAATATTTCAAGTGGGGGAAGTGGTAGGCGCGCTATTTTATGGCGGCTGCTAAGCTGCCAGTTCTATCTCCCAATTAAGTTACGTGTAGGGAACACTGAGTAAGAATATTTGTCCCTTGATCAGTTGATTGGACAATAAATTATTAAAAAAAACCATCCAAATAATTGTTGGAAGGTAATATTTCCTATCACATTAATGTCAACTCCGATATATTAACACCCACAAAAATCATGAAAAATATGTGATAAGACGCCAAGTAAAAAATTTAATATAAAATGTTTTTGAAATCATCAAATTAATCTAAAATTTTAAGAGACTTTATTATAAAAGATTTTATTTATTTAATTATTAAATTGTCATTATTTTTTAAGTATGCATTAGCAACTAAAAAACAATCATTTAATAACTTAAAATGCAACGATTAACAACTATCATCACAAGTATTAACAACACATTTTCTCAGCCTATTACAAAAATATAATATATGAGTTATCAATATTTATCATGATAATTGTTAATTATTACACTTTGAGTTGTTAACGACTATATTTTCAATTGTCAATATATATTTAAAAAAAGATAAGGGTAATTTGATAATTAAATAAATAAAATTTCTTGTAATGAGATCCCTTAAGACTTCATATTAATTTGATAATTTTAAGAGATTTTTTGTTATTTAATTTTTTTAGATGGAACCTTATTGTAATTTTTTCAAAAATCATCTTCGATATCATAAGTAGGATATATTTTAAAGGATATATATTTGGTCTTTTATACTTTGTCCAACTTTTCACATCAATACGACTATTGTTTTATGGGCTACGGTTGTCGTCTCTCCAAATACACATAAAATACGAAGAGGATGGAATTAAAAAAATGAAGAGAAGTGTGGCCCTTATTTCACAATTTTTTTTTTTGAAATTCCACTCATCCTCCTTTCTGTTTTTAAAATTTACACAAAACTCTTTTAACAATAAAAATTAAACAACATATATCTCCAACGTTTTCTGAAACTACACAACAAAGCATAAGATCTTCTTGTTTAATACATGTGCCACTAATAATGTAATAGGGACAAGTATCACATCAAATAAACATATTTATTTTAAATAATCAAATAAAAAAATGACTTATGAATAACTCAATTCTTTTTATGAAAAAGTTATTTTCATAACTTTGTTGCATAACAAATTTGAGTACTGTTATATTTTACCAGCTTTCTATAATTGATCGACGCAGAAAAGTAGCCTAAACGGCCAGTTATTATGGTCTGGTATATCATAGTGTATTTCTTATTTTATTCTGGTTGGCACAATTTATTTTCCTCCTAACCCAACCACTTTTTTCTATTTGATTATTTATTTCCTTGGTTGGAATCAGGCAAATCACCGCATTAAATTCATATAAATCATTTAATTATTAAAAATTAAAAAATCTTATGATAAGTGAATAATATGCATCTATTGTCATTTCCTGCTCCTCCTGAACTCATTATTGCATGTTGCTGCAGTAGTCTTTTAATAATTAAAGTGCTCATATGAGATTGTGTTGTAATTTTTCCTTCAAATTTTGTAAAATAAATATTATGCGAATATTTTCCTTAAAATCATGCATGGAAATTAAAAAATAATTTGATTGAAAATCCAGAAAAAATTTTAAAAAAAACTTGTATAGCTGGAAAAGTTTACAAGAACCCCAGCTAATTAATGTCATAAAAAATGAGTTTAGTTGCATAGACTGAAACTCCTCTGATCCTATTTATAAGATAGAGAGAAAATGTTTTTTTAATCCTATTTATAAGTTATTTTATTCAATTTTCAACATGAATATATTATTTGTCCTTCATTTATTATAATGTAGAAAGTTATTTCTTTTGAAATGTGTATATATTAAATATAGATAAAGTTAAAAAATATTATATTTTAATAGAGAATTAATGCATTTTAAAGTTTTCATCATCATGTGTGAAATATGCTGGAAATACCTTATAAACAGAACCAGAAAGGTATTATTTAAAATCATGGTAATATATTTATTAATGCAGGTTGTATCTAACATAATTTAAGAATACATTGAATGAAATATCATTTATTTGTGATTGAAAATTTTTGTGAAAGTATCTTTACTCCTCACAACAGAAATAATGAATGATCTTGCCCACTTTTTTATTTCGACATAACATGCACAAATTAAAGCGCACGTATAATTGTCAGAAGTTGGTTCAATTTATAATATGAACCACTTTTTTAATTACTCAATTAACTTTATTTTTTTTAAATAAAATTTTAAGACTATCCTACCTTCAACCCAAAATAAATGAAAGAGTCCGGGTCACTCTGAAGTAAAGAGAAATGTGTATGTAAGATTAGTTTAACCCATTTATGGCAGAAAATAAATACCTGTGCAAGTAGAATTAATTTTGGAAGAACAACTTAAGAATTGGGTTTAATGAAAAGGATTGATTTCCCACAATGTGATAAACTAAAATTTATATTTTATTAGAAAAGATATTTATCTTTAATACTCGATAATGTTTCAAACATAATTGTGTTGAGATGTACTTATATATATAAAAGAATTAATTTTGCAAAATTTACCACTGTATTTATAAATTGTTTAAATATTTTATGAAACCTGACTTGTGCAACTACCACTGGCACCACGGAGAGCGCTCAGAAGTAAATTTAATTTATGAAATCCATATCCCCTGAAAGTTTAATTAAAAATAATTCATACAATTTTACTGAGCAATACAAAGAAATTTAGGAACCTGGAAAAATATTGAGAGAATTACAATAAAATCCCAAAAAAATAGTAAGTTTTAATGACAAATAAATAGATATTATTTATTATTCTGAAACTTGTCATTAAAAAACTTTTTGCTGTCATTGAGATTTTTAATAATTATATTTCTTATTTAAGACTTCATAATAATTTTTCCAAAAATGTTTAATGTATAAACTAAATCAAACTACAATAAAACATAGTCATGCACAATATAAATATAAATCACTTATAGAAGAATGACTTGATTTAAAATATTAGTCACCTGTAGAGTAATTAATATTCATCTGTTAATTGTATTCTTATAATTAATGCTCAAATATAATTTCTTATATTTTTTCTCTAGGGGTTTCAAAAAGTAATTTCCCCTGAATCTGTGTTTCACAGAGTGGCAGATCCTCCATGACATGACCGTTCAGTGATGAATTGCAACTACTCTGCAAAAACGGGTAGGGAGTCTGACTTCTCCCCAGTTCAATTTTAAGGACGCCACGTCAGTATTGTTTCTGCGAAATGAATAAATGTTTGTTGCGCACACACCTACGCACAAAACGAGTTAAAATTAATTAAAAATAATAAATATAAAAAATAATATTTTATATAAATATAAAAATTAGTTTGGGATTAAATTTAGTATTAAAACGCATCCACTGTCCAAAATATTTTTTCAGATATATTCAGCATCTCAAAATGATTTGTGGTGTATTTAACATATTAAAGTATTGTTTTAAATGCGTCTAGCATCTTCAAGTGTTTTTTAAAACATCTGACACCTTAAAGTATTTTTTTTAACATGTCCAGCACTCAAAAATATTTCTTAATATATCCAGTACTAAGGCCAAAATTTTTTTTTTTATGATCCTAAACGCACCTAAAAAATATTTCAGAATATTAGATGCGTCAAAAAATAATTTGAAATATTGGATGCACCTTTATCTTTAAATTTAATTCTAAATATAAAACTCAATTATATTTTATCTTGCAAATTATAATTTTTTTTCAAAATATTCCTACTTATTGTACAAATTAAGGAAGTTTACACCCAAAAAAAATATGACAATTTAGATGTGACATTTTAGGTAGATTATATCAATTTTGTTAGAATTAAATAATTTCTCTAAAATTTTTAATTTATTAAATAATTTTTCTAATTTTCTTAATTTTTTAAAACTAATCAGGTAGCTTGTACGATAAAAATTGGGTGAATAATTAATACCAATAAAACTATCCAATAATTAATGAGGACAAAAATGGAAAAAACACATTAAAATTTCAAACAAACCACTGGTATCCCTTGTAAATGGGAAAAGGTCATCTCAAGTTTTTAACATATGAAACCAAAAGGAGTAACACCATGTGAATTTCATTTTGATAGGTATGTATATAACTTTTACAACTCAACATAATATTAGATTATCTGAGTAATTTTTTACACGTTATAATATTATGAGAGAACTTTATAGCAAAAGCATAAAGAATCAATCAACTACCTTTTTAAAACCCTCAAATATACCCACAGGTCGGGTATGATATTATAAAATTTGAATACTATTTTAATTATAATTTGAATATATTGAATTAAATGATAAGCATTATTACTAAATGAGATTTTAATTAGAAGCTGAAACAAAAAAATTAATAACTAATTTTAAATTTGAATAATATATTAATTAGAATTTGGATCTATTGAATTAAATGGAAAGCATCATAACTAAACAATACTCCTATGTCAATTGGGAGGCTTAAATGAAAATAAATAATTAACTTTAAATGTTTATATGTTTCCTTTAAATTGCACGTCTCTAATTTAAATCCCATTTGAATGAATAAAAAATAAATCTTAAGCTACCTTAAATAATGCAATTTCTTAAAATTTCAAATCTAATCAAATATTCTAATCTAGTTATTCCTAAATTTAGTCCTAAAAAGCCACAATGTTTCCTGATTGATCATCCAAAAAGAAACAAGATGGCCACTAGATTTAAAAGAGAAACACCAGAACAAAGAGGAAGAAAAGGGATTTTTATTAACAATGATTCAAGTGCTAAATATAGGACTTACCATGAAAAAAATAACTCATTAGTTTGCTATAAATCAAACATGATTCTGTATAATCCCAAGGTGTTCAAAGGGCTCTCTTTACTTGAAAATTGTTGGAATTCTCCTTATTAGCAGCATCTACATCCTCCGGAGATGCCACTGCAACTACAACGCCTTTATCTTTAACTGCTTCCATTGCACCCACAAATTCTTTGAAGTCCTTCAAACTGCACAAGGCATGTGAAAGCAAGAGTCAAATATATGCAAAAATAGACCCCAGGTCCTGTCACAAGATATCACATCAATGCCAGCAATATGCCCTTTCTAAAAAAATGCCAGTCAAGTAAAATTTAATGATGTAGCTTATAAATAAGATCAGAAAAGCTTTCTCTCTCCAACTTACAAATAGGATCAGAGGAGTAAGATTTAGTGTCTACAAGCAACAAAACTGAAGCCCAGCAAACCCATATGGAGCGAACAAGCAATGAAAACAAAGCAAGAGCAGACACCAATCAGAATCTTTACCTCGTAGATAATATCTCTTCACGTCTCCGTTGCCTTTCCTCTTCTGTGATGCCGAGTAAGTACCGCAGCATACTGCATTGGAAATGTAAAGGAAGTGCACGTAATTATTATTTGTACTGAGAAAAGAAGCAACAACTACTCAATGGGAAGCATCTTCAATCAGCGCTAATGTGCTTTGAGTCTTTTTTTTTTTTTTTTTTTGGGGAGGTGGAGTTGGGGAATGAGCACAACCATTCTTCTTGAGTGGCAGTCAAAATTCAACGGCCAATTTCATCTGCATTTTACTTTTCGAAAAATTGAAAGGCATTTCAAGGAAAGATTAAGATTGCTCCTATCAGAACTTCATTGAGCAAGACGTGTGTCAGAAATAACAGGAATGAGTAGATGCGTCACAAGATTTTGAACAGCCCCTCTCTAATTTGTTACTGATCCCGTCCAGAGGACTCAGAAAAGCATGAGACTTGGACAAGATTAATGGCTTCAAGGAGGACTTAGTTTATCATTTGAGAATACTATAGGAGATGGGCATTGTCAACAACTCAAAACAAGAAGTTTATGTCATGCATTCTCAATCGTCGCTTTTCATCCAGCTACGATGCTTCCAACTCTACACTAGCTAATAGATTTCATCCCTAAAACACAAGTCATGTATGAAAGAATAATTGGAGAAAATTACATACAGACAGCAAAATATGTTATATACGTACCTACTATAGCCTTTGGCATCAGGAAGTTGGTATGCATCAACATCCCCAATGGTCCCTATTATGGCTTTTGTTAAAGAATCATTATCCATTTCTAATTCCCGTAAAAAGTCACCAGTTCCATCATACACATCAAGTGTCTTCAGCAAGTTGGGATCACGATAAGATAAGAAGGAGAACACCCCTGAAAGAATACATAGGTAAGATTGTAAAAGAGATGCTGTTAAATTATGCCTATAAGCAACACGTGTTTACCTGAATGAGTATCAAAATCACAAAATCCTCCATAAGCTCCACCACTAACTCTTACACGATCCCACAACCATGTATTGCTAATGTGTTTTGAAATGACATAGGCACTGCCATGAAGCTCATAACCAGAATCATAAATGTTGGCTGCTTTTCCAACATAATTAACCTGGACAATGAAAAGCTCAGGTATTAACAGAAGAAACATACGCAAGGGATGGCTAGAGGGAGATTTATCTTACCTGAGTAGGTATCACAATAGCTTCATTTCCCAAAGGGAGCCGAGCATGCCAATTGGTTGTTTCAGTAGGAGAGCTAGTGGGAAGCAAATCAACAAATTTGCTCACGTATTTCTCTGTATTAGCAAGATTTTTTCCATCAGCAGTCATATTTATCAAGCAACCTTGCCTGGAAAATATAGACTTGCGAATCTCCTCAAGAAATGATGAAATATTGGCCCAATCGTGATCGACCTTCTCTTCAAGTGTTTGGAGGAATTCAAGATAGCTAGAAATACATAGAACAGAATCAGAAAGAATCAACAATACTTATCCATGGAACTTCAATTTGAATTGCAAAATCCAGATTAAACAGTTAAAGTAGACTAATAAAGCTAACTATGAAACTTACAACAATAGAACTAAAGCATATCTAAACAGGATAGATAATTAAGAACATTCGGATATCAGGAATGGAGACAATGAAATGACCAGGCAAGCTAATCAGGATAGATTAGTAATCCATCATCAAATTAGCATTCCGTATTCTAACCTGAGACCACCCATATTTTCAGACATCCAGCCAGCAGCATTTAGTTTTGCATCCATCCTTGAAGCAGCTATTCCATGACCCCCTCCTCTTAACCGATTCTGAAAATAAACACAAGACTCAATAAAAAATCTATGCATGGGTTCAACACACTGTATTTTGATCCTTTTCATCCTCTTATTTGATAACTACCTCCATCCTTGCTTTGCTCTGACAAACAAATTGTTTGAAACGCTGTTGATCTGTAAACTGGACATCTTGAATAACACGATTAACCTAAAACGCAGGATGCATAAAATTATACTTCACATATTGTGCGGAAATAATTTTAGTTTAGTTATTGAGTGTTGAAGTGGAGCATGAAGCTCAGGTAGCAAGGTTCCAAATACCAAATCATAAAGGTCTTCAGCACGTCCGGCCATTGCTTTGCCTCGAACAATTATTTTACAACATGGATCTTCCTTGCCCCGCACTGATGATGTTAAAGGGTAAACTGATATTCCTCCCGTTTTCCTCCCAATTAATTGGTTCAGTTGGACAAAAGTTAAATCCTTTGTGCCCATCTCCAGCAATGATTGACTGTCCAGATTGCAATAAGAGTAACCAACTGAGTATGACATCCACAATATATTAAGATGAGGAAAAATAATTTAAATTTCTAAAAATAAAGGGTGTAAATTCATCATCCATGATCCTAAATTTTGAGAAAGGAGTCTAGCCAAAAGAGAATTATGATAAAGGATATGAAAGAGCATGTTGAGAGTAGCTAACATCATAGACCAAAGACACAATTATGATGTTTCACAGCTACCATAACATGAATCTAATATGCAGCCACGAGATATCATGAAATGGGATTAATAAGTCTAAATAACCAATATTCGAGACACAGGAATGTCAAAATAAAGATGGTACCTACAATAAATGTCAAAATAAAGATGATACCTACAATTTAAAGAGGCATATCAAAATGCTCATAATAGAAGAAAATATTAGGTACTATAGATGCAGAAAAATAAAACGGAAAACAGCCACCAGAGGTTACATAATTACCAAAATAGCGGGACCAAAGGAAGAAGCTCTTGCTTTAATGAACTCATATTGAAGACTATTTCTGTGTACAGAACATCATTGGTGAAGAGATCATGCTGCAGCATTTCAACTCCATTGATATTGCCAACCTACATTGAGCATACATGTGCCTGTCAATCTCGGAACTGTACTGGTCAGAAGAAAAATCTAATTCAAGGGGAATATGATAACCTCAGTGGGGATCCGAATAGGTTCTTTAGGAATATCTAGCAGAGATAGACTTGGGACAGCTTTCAAAGCTTCTGGTGGATCAGGAGTTTCCTGCTTAAGACGAAGCTCTTGAGTAGCACGTGCCAACTCAGCAAGATCCTCATCGGTCATACTAGCTTTAACTTTACTCAAGATCTCTTTCTCAGCTGCCTCATCACGGGCTGCCTTCTCAGGATCAGGCTGTAAAGTATTCTCATCAATAAATAACATATCCGGTAACAAAAAACCATGTGCTAATGCTAGAATAAGAGAATGAGTACCTGCATCTCCACAGTAACTTGATGACGGTTGTTCAAAATAAACCTCTCTATTAGAGGAGAGAAAACAGCTTTAGTGCCCTCCTTTTCTATTCTAGATTTTAGATCTTGTAGTGGTTTCTCATACTTTAGTGGCTCAAAGGGATTCAAATCATAAATCCATTTACCCTACCACATCAAAAGCCAAAACATTCACAATCTCAATCAGCTGAAATGCACAAGTAGCAACAAATACTACAAAAAATTGAGCACGTCTTACAATAGATCGAAGCATGAGGGATAGACCACGAGGGAATGACCCAGTGTTGTTCTCCCTGAGAGAAAATTCAATAGTGTTCATGGAAGCCTCCACAGCATCTGTATCAAAACCCTCCTCTGCTAACTTTCTAAGCGTATTCATTACCAATTCTTCTACTTTGTGTATGTCACTTTCAGAAACACCCTTCAGTCCGATGCTAAATTGAGGCTGAAGTAGCTCATCTTCAACTCCCCCTCCAACAATGGCATCCCCAAGTCCACTTTCTAGCAAAATTTTCCTCAGGGGTGAAGCAGGAGTACCCAACATAAGATGATCCAGAAATCCGAGGGTAAGCTCAGTTTCCAAGTCTAAGGGCTTATCAGATAGCAACCAGTTAAGGCAGACCATATGCTTCTTCTTTAAATCACCTTCACCAGCAGGATATTTCTGAACAATCCGGACTGGCTCTGAGAAGAGCTTTTGTGGTTTGATTTTCGATTCATTTGGAGCAGAACTTGCACTAAACATATCTAAATACTCTGCACAAAGCATGAGTGACAGAGTTACTCATTCTGCAACCTACGGATCTTTAACAATTAGAGTTAAAGTAGACATAAAAACCAATGCATTGCACGGATTCCAGTGCACTAATTCCACAGGTAATGTTGTCTAACAGTAACATAATTTTACTTTGTAACCAGGTTAACAGTAACAAAATGGGCATGCATTACAAATAAATGCAGAAAATTCAACAAGTCAACCCTGATAACAAAGGATTATAAAGGTCTTAAATCCTTAAGGAGTGTGAACAGGCAATTAGTTACTCTGTCATGTACTCTGAACTCTTAAGCCTTGAGATTAAATCAAATTCATAACAATGATGTGGTTAAGGACCAGATTTTAGGGCAATTACACAGGACATAATCAACAATCAATTTTAGAGATATGTATCACATCATAAGGAGACAAATTCTATACAATCGAATCCATCATATCTTCAGATTCAATAGCGTATTCATTTTCTCTGTTCATGAGAAAGAAACCAAGGAGTAATTTGGTAAACTGGTATCTAGATCTTGTAATCTCACATGCCAAGGTATCTCGGATACTAAGATTGGATGATGGTATTTGGCATGTTTTTATGTGAAGATATAGATAAACAAGGTAATGTCTGAAATAACACCTTTGATAAGTTAATGTTACAATGTGTTATTGAATGACCAAAATATTATGTCACTTCATATCACAAAGTGCAATAAATCCTTTTCATGTTGGCAAATTTGCCCTTATATTTATTGGTAATTAATTCCAAAACAAAATTTACCCATAAAAATATTATAACCACATAAAATATAATAAAAATATTCAGAAATGGCATTATACTTTATTTTCCACATGAACAAGCAAGGAGGAAAACTATACATGAGATTTTTAAATTTTTTGGTTATATATCTAATCAAAATTCAAAACAGTAACCTTACAAGATTTAAAGGATGTAACATATAAAAATTAAAGAGTACATTAGAAAGTTCAAGAAGGAAATAAGATTGATTGAGATGCTCCATCATGTCTTCCATTACTTAAATGTAAGATACCATCTATTATTATACCAAACTCACATTATGAACACCTCATTTTCTTAACTACCGGATCTCATACCATAGCTTGCAACAAACCATTATATTTAAGATCAACGCACACCACACTGCCTAGAGACTGCTACTAGCCTTTGAAATGCCATTACTTTGTTCATCTATAGAAAGATTACTTGCTCTTTGCTTACAAGCTTAGCACAGAAGGAAAAGGAACAGGGTGCCAACTTATTTAGCTAAGGCCTTTCCATCAAGGAGCGTCCCTCATAAGTCATCAGCCTAAACTCCCGTCTCAGGATCATCCACCATTACCCAGATTGTTGCTATAACATGGAAGGGGTAAAGTATTGACAGATTCAAATAAGGCCAAATACCTCAGTGTTTGGTCGGGCATTAATTCAATTTACAAAAAGCTTATGCTTCAGCTTACAATAAAGTTTCACATCACAGCCACAATCCCTAATTGTCAGCACTCTAACCAGAACAGTGAGTTTATTACAATATTTATTACCATTCAGAATACGGAGGCGCTCATGTGGATCATCATCTCCATAGAACCATATTCGGGCATTGCTAGGATGGTAATATTGGCGGTGAAATTCCTGTGAATAAAGTTCAAAACAAAAGCTGTCATATATAGTTAAAAGAAAAACGAGTTGTTTTTATTCACTACAGTTAAATGCAAAGCTATGTGGCAGTAAAAGAACACTGCAAAACCTAAACAGAGAAGATAGACATGTCTCTTGAAAGAATCAATATAATCTATGATTTTCTATGTTTTGCCACAAAAACTTACCTAAAACCTTAATGTTTGCACGAAAAGAAAAGAATGATAAATAATGTTTCTCTCAAGTCTCAACAGCTTAAATTTTTGGAACAGTCATAAAAGCCCTAGTGCGAAGAACTTGCGGTCAATAGTTAAATCCTTGCCACTCACACTTTTCTAGCTATGCTTTATCTTCTTCAAGCCCAAGAGACTTTTACATGAGGCATGTTAAAAGTACAAATAAAAACCATTCTTGGGCTTGTTTCTAATAATTTAAGCCCAGGAGACAATCCCTCACCCATAAGACAGCCAAACCATACACCATGGTTAAATTTATTGCTACCTCTGCAAACTAGAACGTTTTCTCAAACATGATTGTCAAAGCATACCTTGAATTCCTCAAAAGTCAATTTGGGAATCACTTCGGGATCACCTCCACTATCAACACCGTAGGTATTGTCAGGGAAAAGAGCCTGAACCACAGTAATACATAATAGCAATGAATATCCACACATTGAATGATCAAGAATACAATAAATCAACAAGTTAAAAAGAAACTTGATATTGACAATCGATGGATTCAAAAATGTGTGATGCTGTATGTCAGGCAATCTACACAATTTAAAATTCAATGCCAACAGTACAAAGTAAATCTATATAAAATAATATTATTTGATACAATTCAGTAATCAGATAGTCAACATACCCAAATATAATAAAGAGAAGGTTTAGGCAGTCATGATTTGTGACTGAGTTTTCTCAGTTATGTCAGTTGTTCACATATTCCAATAAGAACAAGATATAAGAAGTGGAAGATTTAAAAAATAGAGGAAAGAAAGGACAAGGTGTAAGAGCTAGCCTGCTGAGCAGTCCGCCCGAGTATATTATCAGGTTGAGAATAGACACCCTTCATCTCATTAAAAACAACACCTGAAATAACAAAATGTTAACATTAAGAAAAGGGGAAGAAAATATGCCCAAAATATCAATGCAAGGCAAATGCTGAAAGGCGTAAAGAACTTGAAATAGACAATGACTATATTTATCCAACCTTTGTAACTGATGTCTTCTGAAGGATCATCGAGCTCAAAGTGCCAACCCTCCTGTTGAAACGTCTGGAAGTCCTCCACACATCTGGGAAAGAAAACCGCATCCAGGTATACATCGACCAAATTATAAAAATCCTGTTTAAAATGAAAACAATGTTGTCATATTAGCTCGTCAAATAGATTGACAATTGAAATGCTGAAAGTTCAATGACCAATATATTGACTTGTGACCTTGGTATTTGTGGAAGCAACTGGGTAACATGTCCGATCAGGATATGTGAATGCATTCAGGAAAGTGTTCAAGCTTCCTTTCAATAGTTCAACAAATGGTTCCTTTAAAGGATATTTTCTTGATCCACATAGTACGCTATGCTCCAATATGTGAGGTATGCCAGTGGAATCTTTCCTGAATATTTTACAATATATTCAGCATCCATAAGTGGTGCTAAAATAATTTAACCTCCAATACTTATCCTATGCCAGCACATAGAATCTGGGGAATGCAGTTTTGCTCGAGCGGAATTACATTAAATTTAAATCATGAACTCAAGTTTTACTTACGGAGGTGTGCGGAAAACAATGCCGAACACCTTATTCTCATCGTCATTAGAAACAGACATGACCTCGGCGCCAGTCTTCTTATGCCTGAAAAGCACTGCTTTTGACTTGCATTCTGGAATGAACTCTTCTGAAACCTTCTCAAAACCCAACTTCTCCGCGACTTCATCCTTTACTTCAGCGAATTCTTCACCAGAAAATACCAAAAAAAAAAACAATAATCCATTCAAAACCCCACTTTGACAGCACAAAGTTCACACCGAAACAAGTAATATCAATATCACAGTAAGAGCAAGAAGGCCTCGCATACCTGGAGTGGATGGGAACGGAGGCGAGGCAACAGCACGAGGAGATACAGAAGAGAAATGCTTCCGGAGATTAAGTGATGAAGATGGTAGAGCTGCAGGGACTAATCTGAAGTGGCGGCGGAGCAGAGGACGTCGGGTGGGGTAGGAAATCGAGCGACGATAGTGAAACGGAGCTGAAGAAGACGCACATGACGAGCGAGAAAAGAGAAGGAGGGAAGGAGAGGAGCGAGAGAAGTATCTAGATGAAGATAAAGAACGAAGAAGAGCGGCTCTCTCCATGGATAACAGAGAGAGAGGCAGAGAATCTGGGTTTAGCAATTAGAACCCGGAAGACGCAAATGGTTTCGTGCTCCTATGAAGAGGATTATAGGAGGGAAAATAAATCCAAAAGCCTTCTGATAATTACAGTGCACGAAATATCGGAAACTATTGTGGTTCTCTAATTGCCAGGTTCTTCTCTTACATTCCTGGCGGGTGGGGACTCCAAAACCTCAACTTTTGCTCTATTGTTTGGCCGGCGAAAGAAGTGCGGCTGTAATTAGCCTCAAGTGCAAAACAAAAATTGGAAGTACAATAATGAAACTAAATAAAAATAACAAAATAAATAGTAATTAATTTTGTTTAGGAAGAATCATATTTGCACATTTGCACATCATTTCTATTCGTTAATTTTTAATAACACTAAATTCTTTTCATTCAAAAGAAAATAGAAAGAATCCCATAAAAAGAAGTTTAAAATTACTAGGTATCAAATAAAAAATTTTAACAAAAATTTGTTGTTATTTACAAATTCAGTATTATCAAAACTAAATGAAGTGTTGTTATTGATTTTGAATTTAGTAATTTCAAATTTTTTACAAAAAAATTCCCAATAAAATAACACTAAATTCTCTGCATATTGAAGTATAATGAATGAGTCTGGTTATAACTGATGAAGATTTTGGATTGAATCAAATTTTGTCGTTAATAGCACTAAAAATCTCTTTTAAACGTGAGGTTGTGAATTGTAGTGCTATAATATGCACTTGACCTCCTTTCCTAAAGTGAACAATTAAAAATACACACACACACACACACAAAGATCTAAATTATTTTTTTGGGGACTGGCAAAAAAAATTTTGGTCTGTGTGGATTGTGTTGGCCCAATAGAAAGATATGCAGGAAGCTGTGGTCACGACCCATGGAGTGACGTATGGAGGCCCATTGAGTCTCCAAAAGATAGTATGTACGGTAGTTGAGAAGGATTGTAGTAGCCCTTTAAGCCCAAATCCAGCCACAACTTAATTGTGGGCTTGTCTAATATTACTTCCGGCCCTATTTATAAGAACTTGTTTATAGTGTATAAATAAAGTCTTATAATTAGGACTAGAGATAGTACTCATTATTTTTTTTTATAAGATTGAAACTTTTGAATTACCTTTAACCATATTTAGCACCAGAGATTAGTTTGAATAGGATTATCTCCGATAAAAAGATATTTATGCTTAACAAAAAAATTAACTAAACTACCAGTAAGGGTTGAGTCGAGCAGGAAGAATTAGTTCTACATAACGTAGCAAATCAATACTTGAATTATCACTGGAAAATATATTCACATTTAGTGATTTGATCAAGATTGCGCAATTAGATTATTGATATCTCCTAAAAAAGACCAGAGCGAGTGTATTATAACAATGATTTTCATAAATTTTAAACTATGCTAAAAGTCTTATAGTCCAGTGATATTGATTTTTTTAAGGAGAGGCTGTGGGTTGAATTCCACTTGATAAGATATTGATTTTTTTTTTTGGTAACTTTATTCAAAGTCCAATAAAACGAGCACACTCAAGTGGCAACGACATTGATTTATTTGACTGCCAAATTAGGTGGAAACAAAATATTCTCACCTAGTACCGCCGGGGGGAAAAGCCTCAAAAAAATCTTTACCATGGAAAAAAAAACCGGACCGGACCGGCCGGTTCAACCGGTGAACCGGTGAACCTGCCTGTTGTCCGGTCCGAAATAAGACAAGAACCGGCCAGGGGTTAAACCGGTGGTGAACCGGTTGAGCCGGTATGAACCGGTGTAAAACCGGGTAAACCGCCGGTTTAAGTGATTCAGCCGGTTCAGAACATTTCCCCCTCCAGAGACCCAAAACGACGGCGTTTTATTAAAAAAAAAAAAACTTCGAACCCAGACCAGCTCGACCTCGACCTCGACCGCCCAACCCGTCTCCTTCGGTCCTTCCTCATTCGGTCTCCAAAACGGCAAAACCATCTCGGCAGCTCCTTCCTAATCCTCAGTCCCAGCCGCCGTCGCCGTGTGCTCAGTGAACCTCGCCGCCGTCGCCGTGTGCTCACTGTCCCGTCTCGGTACCAGCTCACTGAATCTCACCGCCGTCGCCTCACTGAATCTCCCAGCTCAGCTCACTGAAGCTTGCACCATCGCCGCGTCGTCCCCTGCCTCGCCTGAAGCTGCTCGTCCAGACTCCCGATTTCGTTTGACTCGGTTTGAGCTCTCCGTCTCTGTCTCTCTGATCTCTCGGCCACTCTTATTTTCGTTTGAACTTGGATTGAGGGTGATAATCTATTAAATTTCTGGTTTGATTTTTCCTTTGAGTTTGGATTCTCTGCTTGTCTGTCAATTTTGATTTTTCCGTGCTGCTTCATATGGAGTTGTGGTGTTAGATTGCTAGACTATCTGGAAATAATAGATTGAATTTAGTCAATTTACCATAGCATTGGAAATATACTATATGGGTTTATATTAATCATATGGAGTTGTGGTGTTATGTTCTTTGTGTTATGGCTGCTGCGATGTTCAGATGAGAAATAACCGATGTTCAGATGTTATATTAATTATTAAGCTTTTGATTTGTTTTTTAGTAGCAGTGATGGATATTACAAATAACCAAAGTTCTGGAAATGACAACATGACTTCTAATACTGGATCTTCAACTCCCCAAACCGAAACCTCCACACCCACATCTTCATTACGTGCCAAAACTGATCCAGCATGGGCACATATTGCCTACAAAAAAGAGGGAATACAAAATATATATACGTGTCTTTTTTGTACTAATAGTTATAGAGGAGGTGGGATCAATAGGATGAAGCAACATCTTGCTGGCACTGTTGGTCAAATAGCTGCTTGTAAAAAAGTTCCACATGATGTACGTCATAGAATGGCAGAGTCTTTAAAAGAAGGGTCAAAGAAAAAAACTATTGAAAACATAGAAGAGAAAATCGAAGAAACTCATGTTGGATCACCAAATGTCACAAGTAGTGCAAGGAAGAGGAAAGCTTCTGGGAGCATAGACAATTATTTTGCTCCTAGAACAACTCCTGATTCTCAACCTGGCATTAAGAGTGCATTAGCTACTAAAGAAGCAAAGCATAATGTGAAAATGTTGATTGCTGAATGGGCTATTGTAAATTGCATTCCGTTTAAGGCGTTTGATTGCCCTTTATTTCAAAAAGCTGTGGATGGCATTGCTTCAATAGGGCCTGGGTTTAAAGCTCCTAGTGCTTATGATTTTAAAACCAACTTGTTGAGTGACTGGAGAAAAGAATGTCAGTTACTCATTGATAGTCATCGAGCTAAATGGAAAAATAATGGCTGCACACTCATGGCTGATGGATGGACTGATGTTAGACAACGTACTTTGATAAACTTCTTAGTGTATTCTACACATGGTATGGTATTTGTGAAGTCTGTTGATGCATCAGATCTAGTTAAAGATGCCAAAACTCTATTCACACTATTTTGTGAAGTCATTGAGTGGATCGGTCCTAAAAATATTGTTCATGTGGTGACTGACAATGCAGCTAACTATGTAGCATGTGGTAGATTGATTAAAGAGAAGTATAAAAGTATTTATTGGTCACCTTGTGCTGCACATTGTTTGAATCTTGTGTTGAAGGACTTTTCAAGCATGCCTCATGTGTCAGACCTCGCATCAAAGGCATCAAAGATAACTGTATTTGCATATAATCATATGGTTTTCTTATCGTGGTTGAGGAGAAGACCAACTTGGAAAGAAATTGTGCGTCCTGGTGCCACGAGGTTTGCTACCACATTTATTACATTGCACAGCATATATATGCACAAGAATGACTTGCAAGCTTTAGTTGTTGATAAACACTTTGTGGACCACAAATTATCAAGGACTGAAGCTGGAAAAAATTTTAGTGCAATCATATTGGACAATCGGTTTTGGAATGATTGTTATCAAGTTGTGAAAATTGTATCTCCTCTCATAAAATTGTTGAGAATTGTTGATTCAGATGAGAAGCCTTCATTGCCTTATGTTTATGAAGGCATGCGAAGGGCGAAAATGGCAATTAAGGAGATGTTTAAGAAGAACAAGGAGCTGTATAAGCCCTACACAACAATCATTAAAACTCGATGGGACAAGCATTTAAAGACCAATCTTCATGCAGCATCATATTTGCTGAATCCTGCAATCACATATGCTCCAGACTGCTCTATCAAGTCAAAGTTAATGATGGCTTTAATTGATGTGGTGGAGTCTTACTCAAACGAAGAGGTTGATGGCTTCTTGGTAATGAAACAAGCAACTACTTATCGTGAAGCCAAAGAATCTTTCAGTAGACCATCATGTCAAAAAGCAGCACAGAAACTTGACCCTTGTAAGTGTTTTATTTAATAGCTAATAGTATATTTATGGTCATTCACTAATTTTATATTTCATATTTTCATGATTTAGATGAATGGTGGACATATTATGGATGTTCAGTGCCAGAATTGCAACGTGTTGCGATGCGCATTCTTAGTCAAACTTCTTCTTCTTCTGGCTGTGAAAGGAATTGGAGTTTATTTGAACGCATTCATACAAAAAGAAGAAATAGACTGGAGCACAAAAGGCTAAATGATTTAGTTTTCACAAACTATAACTTGCGATTAAAGTATAGGTAATTTTATAAGTTATGAACATTTTTATTTTGATATGGATTTACATCTAATTAAAATTTTATTTGTCAGGAGTACATTGAAGAAGCAGAAGGCAAGCTATGATCCTATTGACTTTGAAAACATTGATTTGGTGGACTTTTGGGTGACTGAAGAAGATCCTGTTCCAGAGTTTGATGATGGAGATGTGGCAACATTTGAAAGTGTTGTCAACAATGAAGACATTTCAAATTTGACAACTCCTGGGAGGGATAATGAAGGTATTATTGTCTTAGTCTCTTAGAAGTTATAAATATTTTTATTTTAATATTGATTTACATACATTTAATTGACACTTTATTATTGTCTTATTTAGGTGGTGGTGATGATATGAATATTGTTGAACCTCCACCTCTGCAAGATGATGTTGCTACTCCTTCTAATTTTCCTCTTCCAACTATTGATGTCTCAATTCCTGACCCTGCCAATGAATTTAATGATGATTTTGATTTTCTGTAATGATGAAGATATATATTTGTTAGTGTTAGTTTGGTACAATTAAATGTTTAAATCACTTTGGTTGTTTTTTGTATTTTGTTAAATGGTTATTACTGATGAATGTTATTTTTATTTTGTCATTGTCAATTAAATTATATTATTTTAATATGACCGGTTTGACCCCGGTCTGACCCCGGTCTGACCTATTGACCCTTAACCCACTAGCTAGACCGGTTTAGTATCCGGTCCGGTTTTTTGTTCATTGATCTTTACACGTCATGAAACGGAAACCTCCCTTCTCAAACTTCAAGAAAAGTCACCGTCGCCACTCACCCCAACGGACTTCCAACCCAATCTTAGACTATTTTGCTGCCACCCTTTTCTTTTAAAAATGACCAACATCTTATTTTTCTCAGCAAGTTCATTAATTACATGAATCCTACCAGAAACAGAAAGGGAAGAAACAATTAAGCACACAGTACAGGTTGATATGAACTCTTGGGAAGCGAACAATCCAATTCTTCATAGAAGCTGATCACCACTTATGCTAGATCTGATCTTTCTTGAACCCAGTCGATCTTCCATCGAAGTCAAGCACATGTATGAGCTAGGCAAAAGAAAGAAGAAAGGAAGAAGAAGGAAAAGAAAAATCCCAGAAACTGCATCGTCGTCGTCATCATCCTTCTTAACTTTTAACTCTGATTCATGAAGGAGACGATAGTGTTGAGCATGGCGACAGCATTGTTGCAGGTTGGAGTGAACAGATGAAACACATGACCTTCGTCTTTGGCTTCCATTACCTCCACCACGCCCTTCCACCCGCTCTTCTCCACCACTTCCTTGTAATAACAACCTCTCTCCTTCAACAAATCCTTCTCTGCAACACACACCAGTATCTTTCTGCAACCCAAGCGTCCCACATTCGGATCCTTCGCAGGGTTAATCATCGGGTCGTCCGATCCTTCCGTCGTCGGGCACGCAAAGCGCCATATATTATCCCCGATTGATCTCTCCCTCGCTCGGGTCTTCTCTGACCCTATTGGTTCCACTCCCCAGAAGAATGGATGAGCCAGGACGATCCCTTCCAGATTCATGCCTGGTAATCCTTCCGTGCCTACGCGAATGGCCATGTGGTGTGCGATGGTCGCTCCTGCGCTGTCTCCGGCGAAGAATGCCTTATCGAAATCGACGTGACGGTTGAGTAACTCCTCGGATCCGTTCCCGCCGGAATGGGATGCGACCCATTTCAGCGACGTCCATGAGTCTTCAAAGGCAGTTGGAACTGGATGTTCGGGGGCTCTTCTGTAATCGACGGAGACGGCGACGACGTTGGCGGCCGACACGACCGAGTTGAGGTAGTTATGGTACTGTGCGGTGAAGGGGGTTTCAATGACAAAGCCTCCACCATGGAAGTAGACCAGGAGAGGAAGCTTCTTGTGGGGATCGATGGTTCTGGGAGCAAAAAGCCTTGCCAAGATGGGGGCTTCTTGGGAGATGACAACGTCGTGAGATCGGACGTTAGTTTGCGGGTCGTCGAGGGACGGCGGAGCGAAGTCGGTGCCTGCGAGTCTCTCAACGCGACCATCTTTGTAGACTTTGAGCATGGGGGAGAAGTCGTGGGCTACTTCGGTGGAGCTGGAATCCATGGCGGGAGAACTGGGATAGCAATATGCTTATCTTTTTCAGCAGAGGAGATAATGGCTAGAAGAAAGATGCCAAGGTGACGTGTTTACGTAACAATACCAGCAGTGGTTGCTATTTTTTTCCCTTGTTTTTTACGAGTTTTTTTTTTTTTTGGTTCAGGGAATCCTTTAATGATTGGCTCTAAAAATCCTCAATAATAATGAAAAAGAGTCATGCCATCAATATTATTATTAATGCTATTAATATATTTTGATAATCAATGTACATCACATAAATCGCAGCATTCATGAATATGGGCTTGGCAGTTACTTCTCGACAGCTACTCCTCTGGTTTTATTAGAATCAAGACGATCAATTAAATAGTAGTGGTTGCAAAAAAAACAGAGACAATTAATTAAAATTTTTTCCAGAATTAATTAAAAATAAAATCTTAAAAAAAATACTTCTAAAACTTTAAAATTCCAAATCAGCAATAAATACAAAAATGTGTTGTTATTTAGTTTTCAATTAGAATTTTAAAATTTAAAGATTTTTTTTTAAATTCTTCCTCAATTAAATGAGTTATATACCACTATTAACGTGGTAAATATTTATATATTACTCTTTATTTAATGGGATTGTTTTAGCCGACAATGGGATGTTTTAACTCACAACAATGTTTATAAAAAAAATTAGGTATCTTTTACTTAAGGGTATTCTTGATACGGTGGATAATGTAGCATGTACAGACACGCGCGCGCACATATGAGAATATAATAAAATAAATTTTTATACTATGAAAATATATATAATACAAAAGTTATACATAATATAGAACTTGATATGTTGAATAATAAAAATATAGCTGGTCAAAAAAAATATAAATAATATAATGTTTGATAAATTGATACTATATGTTGAAATCATTCAGCCCGCTAATTACATAGGGAAAATGCAACCTTTTGGCAACACATATGGAGTATCTTTTTTTTTTTTTAAGTGCTATTATCAGAGTTATTTTTGAAACATTTTATTTATATTCTCATTTTATTGTTGTATAATGTGTAGCAATGTGTATTAATTTTAAGGGAATCTGTATGTTTGGTTTCCTATTGCCATCATTTTCTATACATACATGCAGCTAAGAGCGATTGAATCCGTTCAATTTCTTTTTATTTTATGATTTACGAAGGCTTAATATTAACCCTCATCATCACATTTCCAGGAATCCCTATTTTCTAGCTACCTGTTATGATACACGACAGGTTTTCATTTTCCTCAATTTATATCACTTTCTTCGACATTTGCATATATATAACTGTGGTAGAAAATTAGAGAATAATGTCATTATTTTATTTGTCATGTACGTCACTTTCCATCCTACTTTCCAGCAAAATCATGCCCACCGCACACGAAATTCCTCCCCTGTACTGGACGATTTTTATGTTATTTTATTTTGTCTTTTGAAAACGACCCATCTTATTTTTCCTTTTTTCTGCAAGTTAATCAATTGAACCCAACCGAAAAAGACCGAAATAACACCACCACTCACAAAAATATTTTCACACACCAGAATTTTCTAAACTCAACGTCACGTTACACGTAGCGCGTTACAAACCAAACCCATTATTTACAGCTCATAAGAAGCTGTTGAACTTATTTTAAAAGAGTGTTGAACAGAAGCCGAACTATAATTTTAAAAATATTTTAACAGCATATAAAGTAAATATGTAGAGGAGTGTCTCGTTCTGCAGAAAACTATTTTTTAAAAGCACTCTTTTATCTTGACAAACACTTCTAAAGGAGTGTTTGATAACCTCCAAACTATAGTTTCAGAAACACTTTTCTACAAAACGAGACAAATTCCTTCATATATTTACTTCATAAACCATAAAAACACTTTTGAAACTATAGTTTGGTTTCTATCAAAACACCCAATCAACCCAGTCGATGATCTTCCACCACACACATTTATATACGAGAGCTACCGGTCCTAATTATTACAGAAGCTAAAGCTCAGAATAAGAAGAAGATTCTTCTTATTATTGACTCAGATTGATGAAGGAGACAATAGTGTTGAGCATGGCGACAGCATTGTTGCAGGTCGGATTGAGCAGATGAAACACATGGGCCTCCTCCTTGGTTTCCATCACTTCCACCGTTCCCGACCACCCACTCTTCCCCATCGCTTCCTTTTAATACCATCCTCTCTCCTTAAACCAGTCCTTCTCTGCAACACAAACCAGTATCTTTCTACAACCTAAGCTCCCCAAATTCGGATCCTTCGCCGGGTTCATCAACGGGTCGTCCGATCCTTCTGTCGTCGGGCACGCAAAGCGCCACCGACTATCCACCATGGATCTCAAACTCGCTTCTAACTTCTCTGACTTGAGTGGTTCCGCTCCCCAGAAGAATGGATGAACCAGGACGATCCCTTTTAGATTTATACCTGGTAATCCTTCCGTGCCCGCGCGAATCGCCATCTTGTGTGCGATGTTCGCTCCGGCGCTGTCTCCGGCGAAGAATACTTTGTCGAAATCGGCGTGACGGTTCAGTAGCTCATCGGATCCGTTCCCGTCGGAATGGGAAGCTACCCATTTGAGAGACGTCCATGAGTCTTCAAAGGCAATGGGAACTGGGTGTTCTGGGGCTCTTCTGTAATGAACGGAGACGGCGACAACGTTGGCCGCGGACACGAGCGAGTTGACGTAGTTGTGGTACCGTGCGGTGAAGGGGGTTTCGATGACAAAGCCTCCGCCGTGGAAGTAGACAAGGAGAGGCAGCTTCTGGTGGGGAACGATTGTTTTGGGAGCGAAAAGCCTCGCCGAGATGGGGGCTTCTGGAGAGATAACGACGTCATGGGATCGGACGTTGGTTTTAGGATCGTCGAGGGATGGCGGAACGAAGTCAATGCCGAGGAATCTCTGGACGCGACCATCTTTGTAGAGTATGAGCCTGGGGGAGAAATCATAGGCTACGTCGTTGGTGCTGGAATCCATGGCGGAATTTAATGGTGAGCTCAGTGTTGTGAGAACGCAGCCAGATACACGCTCGGCCTCCTTACTTAAATGCTGCATTTAAGACTTTGTATTTAACTTTTACGTTCAAATTCTCTGTACCACTCAAATGAGCTATAGATAATTTAGACCTAAGTTTAGAGTATTCAGCCAAAACTGGTCCCCAACACATGCTAAATTTATTGAGATATTTTTTATTTGCGCATTAAATTTTAATTATTACTTTTTTTTACCAGAAAATTTTAATTATTACTAAATGATAGAACTACTTTTGAAATAATGTGACAAATTTTTTATATCTTATTTATAAAATGTATAATTAAAACAAAGTACCAAGCCTACACCTAAAGCAAGCTTCCGTTTTTTTTTTTTTTGGGGTACGATCCTTATTTAGTATCTTAAACACACCAAACATGCACAACCTTAAGAAACACAAGCACAAACTTATTTTCCATTAGTTTACCTCATGCTTCATTTTTTTTCTCACTAATCACTTTAGGTGTTGTTAGATCTCACATTGTCAAAATGAAAGGAACGAATCCTATTACAAGTATATTTGTTTATCATATATTTTCTAAATATATATTTCGTAAAATTTAAACGAATAGATAATTTAGTTTATGTGTTGATTGGTATATTTTTTAGAATGAGTATCAAATATTATTGTTAAGAAAGATTAAAAAAAATGTTAAAATGAAAGATACGCCACGTGAGGCCGTAGACACGCCACGTACGCGAGTATATACTCGCCGTAGAATGCAAGGAACTCATCCTTCTGCTGTGGTTTATCGACTTTTCACAGAAAAAAAAAAAAGTAAAGGAAAAGAGGGGGGGACCTTATTCCCATAATTAATTACTGTATGGTTTGATATTATTATTTTTAATTAATCAATAGATGTTCTTATATACGCAATTTTAAATTATATATAATCCTTTTTTTTTTTTTACCTTTTTTGTTTTGCATATCCATCCCACACACACTTCCAAAAAGAAAAGTTTTCGTAAGAATTAAAGGTCAAGCAACAAACTGAAAAGGGAGTGATTAAACTTTAAAAATATTCCATTAACACGCACTATTCACATCACATTACTTTCATGTATTATTCTGCTAATTAAGCGTTTTAAAAGGGGAGGTTTGGTAGAAGAAACATAACAAATTCCTTGCAAAAAAAGCCATTAATTTTCAAAAGGATCTTATCACGATTCTGAGAACATCTAACCACAAAAATCCTGAATATGCCTGATCTCTTGCACTGCAATAATCCCCACCACAGCAGAAGTTCCAATCCATTTCAGACGACGTTGCAGTTATCATTTTCTTCTGAAAATGACTAGCACCTAATCTTTTGGAATATAGTAGTTGAATTGAGCCGCACCAGAAGAGAAGAAACCCCACTTACCGGCAATAAAACACATAGTACGGCAGCTGATAGGAACTCTTGGGATGCTAGGTGATAACATCAATTCTTACGTCGTCAGAAGAATGGATGAGCCAGGACGATCCATTCCTGATTCGTGCCTAGCTGGTAATCCTTCCGTGCCCACGCGAATCGCCATGTGGTCTGCGATTGTCGCTCCGGCGAAGAATACTTTCTCGAAACCCACGTGACTGTTTAGTAACTGCTAGGATTCGTTCCCGCCGGAACGGGGAAGCGACCCATTTCAGCGACGTCCATGAGTCTCCGAAGGCAGTACGAACAGGGTGTTCTGGGCCTCTTCTGTAATCGACAGAGACGGCGACGATGCTATCTTTTTCAGTGTATTCCCTCGTCGTAACGGGAAAGTGGTTATGTCATGTGTGAATAATTTTTCACATTGAAATAAAAGATTTTGAATTAATAATTTTAAATATGAGTAATATTACAAAAAGCTTAATTAATTATGCATGACCTGTAGTGAGAAAAAATACTCGTTTCATGCGTAATATAAGTCATTCTGTTCAAACTCAAAGGGACTCAATAACTGGATTCAAAATATAAATATAATTTAACTGTAATATCTAAAATATTTATATTTATTTATTTCTCTATTTCGCCCTTCTATGCCATTTGTCTTGGGCAAATCTCTTATATACGATTAATTTTAT